TCTAAACCAAGACTGAATCAGGTCTAAACCAGGACAAAACTCGATCTAAACCAGGTGTTTGGTCTGAATGATCTAACACACATAATCTGAGGTTATGTGACTCGATGACATCACTTCCTGTGGGTTCAAATCTCACAAGTTTAACGTCTGTTTGTGTTAATCTGAGTTTCTTCAGATTACAGAGATTAACCCGCTCTAATCCGGCAAACTGGGACCACTCCCGTTAGAATTAAGAACGGCCAAAGTGTGTCAACAAGAGACACGGATGAACTACGTTTGAATGTGACTGAATGACATTTTAAACACTGATAAATCTGATAAATTGAGTTCCATTTTGGTTATGAAAAGACTAATTTAGATTATTGACACAATCTGGTGAAAATACAGCCCCAGTGCTCTTGTAGGGTGACATCTCAGAAGACTAAACTTGGTCTAAATCAAGTCTGAACCAGGCCTATACCAGGGCTGAATCAGGTCTAAGGCAGGACTGATTGGATCGAGGTCTAAACCAAGTCTAAACCAGGACTAAACTTGGTCTAAACCAGGACTGAACTTGGTCTAAACCAGGTCTGAACCAGGCCTAAACCAAGGCTGAATTAGGTCTAAACCAGGGCAGAATGAGGTCTAAACCAGGACTAAACTCAGTCTAAACCAGGAATGAACCAGGTCTAAACCAGAACTGAACAAGGTCTAAACCAGGATTAAACTCGGTCTAAACTAGGACTGAACCAGGTGTAAACCAGGACTAAACTTGGTCTAAACCAGGTCTGAACCAGGCCTAAGCCAGGTCTGGATCAGCTCTAAACCGGGTCTGAACAAGGTCTAAACTAGGATTGAACCAGAATTGAACCAGGTATAAACTAGGACTGAACAAGGTCTAAAGCAGGTCTGAACCAGGTCTAAACCAGAGCTGAATCAGGTCTATACCAGTATTAAACTTGGTTTTAACCAGGTCTAACTGAACCAGGTCTAAACCAGGAGTGAAAAAGGTCTAAACCAGAACTAAACTTGGTCTAAACCAGCACTGAACCAGGTGTAAACCAGGATCTACATCTCAAACTGTTTTTCTTGTAGATGCCCTGATGTAGAACAGAATAAACAAACTCTGGACTAGGCCTGTCACGATAATTACTACATCAACTTATCGTTCAATATTTGAAAACTGGAACAGTATTTTGGAGCTGTTGTACATTTTCTTTGCAATAATGTGGAGATTTTTGCAGTTTTTAAGTAATACAATCAGGTTTGAGCTGTAGAGGGTTGAATAAATAACTTCATTGTACCATTTATTTGTAGCAGCTCAGGGTTTTTAAAGGTGCACTGTGTAACTTTTCTGGTGCAGGGTCCGTCAAATGCTTTTCTCTGCCTGGAATGTTCCACAGTGTGACATTAAACAGCTCTACCTCACATTTATTCAATCACAGGTGTTATTATAGCTCAAAAATACCTAGAAAAAGGCATTCTGACTGTGAGTGGGGTTGCCTGTCCACAGATCTGACTTGTAACTTGGTCTGGTTTGGTCTCCATGAAGATAGAAAGGTATAAAGTCGTTTCAATATTATCAACAATAACAATAACAATATTTCTCGGTACTGCTTCAAAATTTGTTATCGTGAACGGTCTGATCTGGACTCGATCTAGGCAGAGGTACAAACGTTCTGTTGTCCGGGGCCCGAGGGTTTTACGTGCCCAAAATTAGACCCTCTTAATATTAATTTATATTAGAAGGGGGGCCCATGTGAGACTTCTTGCCCCGTGCCCCCAAATTTCTGTAGACGGCCCTGTTCCTAGGAAAAAACGTTAACTGGGAAATGACGAGATTAAATCAGACAAGTCACAGTTAAGAAATAAAAAGGTATTTAGAGCAGCATGAGATGTAAGAATAGCGGGCACCTGCGTGACTCCACAGAGATAAAACGAACTGAAGCATTGTACGTAGAGATAAATTTTATATCGTTTTATATCGTGGAGGGGGAATTTTTCCAGGAAGAGCAGGAACATCTCCATGGAGACAAACAGCGGGTTGGCTCTTTACCAGAAAAGTTAGTCAGTTCTGTGGAAAGATAAGCGCCCTCGCAGTACGGGAGCGTGTATCTCGAAGATGAAATGAAAGTTTTGGTTTGGTTTACACGTTCTGGAGTTTTAAGAAGACGTCAAGAAGATTATTTCACAACTTTTCTGATGAAGGGTCCGGCCAATGTTTGTTTTTGTTTTTTTTAACTTTGTCTGGAATGTTTCACAGTATGGCATTAAACCTTTTTATCTTCATGGAGACCAAACCAGACCAAGTTACAGGTCACATCTGTGGAGAGGCGACCCCACTCACAGTCAGAAGGTCTGTTTTCTTTTTTTTTTAGGTAGTTTTAAGGTATAAAACACCCTGGATTTCAATAAATGTAAGGTAGAGCTAATTAAAGTCATACTCTGGAAAATTCCAGGCAGAGCAATGACATCTCCATAGAAACAAGCCCTAACTCCCACCAAAACTTTACACGGTGCACTTTTAAGAAGACTGTTAAACTACTTCAAAAAGATATTTCAGTGGTTGTAAAATGTAATCTTTTTAATCCGGCCCGCTGAACTTGAATAATAATAATAATAATAGTAATTTTCAGTGTTTTAAAAGTCATTTCAATAAATAGTAAACACCGCTGGACTTGAAAGACAGATATTTTTGTTGTAATGATTTTCAATTATGGTATATTTTATAATAACATGAGATATAAATTCTTCATATCCCCTGTTATTTTTTTTCTCTTATGAGGTGGATCACCAAAAAACTTCATCCATCTGCTCTTGGTCCGGTTCTTCCGTCAAATTTTAGAGCCCTCTGTGACCCACCCTTGTCTTAAATAATGCTTTTATATTTACGTCAAACATTAAATTACGGAAGCATCGATACAAAACTGGGAATTTTCTGGAGTGGATATCGACATCAAAATATCGGTTCGGTCGATATCCTCATTGGACATATAATTTCATCTAATACAACCATTTATTACTGCCTAGAAAGTCAGAATCTTTGAACTTTTATTCACCAGGGATGTAACAATCACTGAAATATCGTGATATCGTATCGTCAGAACTCTCACAATATACTGAATTAGAAGGTTCTTAGCTTAAAAGTATTTAGAAAAGTGGAAATACATAATCCTTTGCTTCATTTCAGTGCAGACTACATGACAAAATGGCTGGTATTAAGCACTTTTTAATCTTAATTTGTTGGATTATGACAGAAAGGATTCACACTGAAGTCATTTTAAAAGTATTACAGTATTATAAAGTATTATAGCCACAATTCTGTAAGCATCTCCAAAATATCACCATAAATATTGTACTGTGAGATTTGGATATCGTCGCATCCCTATCCTCATCCCATTACCTGTTATTTACATAGTTCTGTAGTTACATGAGGATAAATAACAGGTGCGTATCACATTTCGACTAGTTTTTGCCCTGAACTGAAACTTAAACTTAGCCTTAGACAAACTTTACTGATCCATTACTTGGACACAGTAGCTCACACATCACAAAATATCATAATAACAAAGAGAAAACATATAAATTATAGTAATAAATTCTGATTAAGTAGCAAAAATAGCAAGAAACTGGTGTCAAATAAGGCACAATTAGATAAATATATAAGTACAAGTTAAAATAAAACAGAAATAAGTAATAAATAAGTTGGATCGGTGCATTCCTACATCAAATATGTTGTGTAAAAGTGCAATTTATTTCCAACTATCACATCTTACAACTTTCTATAAAGGCCAAAAGGCAAAAAGTCCATTTCATATAACTTGATTTGACACACATTCCCACAGCGATCGTCAGTATCACCGGTATTTCACGAAAATCCATAATCCTTTCACTTAAGACAGTTTAACCAACCACCAACAATCATCTACAAGAGGTGGTGAAGTGTCTTGCCCAAGGACACAAAAAAAAACTGTGGGTGGACAAATCTCATAATGAAATAAATGCCGATTGCGAAACCTTGAAATAATGAGTCTTTTGTGTGCTCATCTTAAGAAACTTGCAAAACAGAAGACATTTATTTCACTAAAAGATCTGATGCTGTATTGTGTTTTTTCTTATACTTAGACTTTTTATTTATTTATTTTTTTAAGTAAGATAAAAGTAGGCTATCCATAGGTCTGCTCATGATGATTTATGGGAAATTCTCACACAGAATAAGCCCCTGTTTACAGATAAGACTGATGCTCCTGTAAATTCTGAACCGGTTTTTCCGCTTCAGGTGCGTGCACGCGTGCGTCAGGATGCGTACGAGCCTGTTTTTAACGAGCGCCGTTTGCCTGACTTCCACATTCTGCTCCTACAAACTCACAGAACTCCCGTCCAGTCCAATCCATAAAAACTCTAAAGAAAGGTGCCCAAAGTCTGTGTGCAAAGTGTGAACGTGCGCGTCCCAGTGGCAGTGCGCGCGGCGTGTCCCTGTTCCTGAGTGGAGGAATGCGAGCTATTCACGGTGAGGTAGTGCCATGCCGGGACAAGTTCACACTACCGCGAAGTCAAGAGACGCGCACGTGTACGGGCAAAAACATGGGCAAAACATAAAATAAAATATCCACCAAAAACAGCTTCATAAAGACCTGCTTGATAATTCTGTGCACGAACCTCATTAGAAAAACGAGCACTTTCAAACTCACTTTCCAACAAAGATTAGGGCTTTGGATGTTACCACCGCGCCGTATACACAAAAAATATCAAGAAAACAACTCATTACGGTGTAAATATTACAGCCGATTAAAAGTGTGGCTTATTTGTGATCAAAATGTGTTTTAAGTGCGTCTTTTGGTTGCAGTTTTGCGAAGAAAAGTGAGTTTGTAGGTGAGTGTCCGCTGTTCGAATGGCAGTCCGGTCGCGCGCTGGAGACACGCCTGAAAGCACGCTCTACCCGCAGCGTATCAGCCCGGGACAAGTTCACATCGACACAAATCCGCGAAAAAGGAGCGAGGTGAGGGGCACGTGGGACTCACCTGACGTCCACGCGCTGCTCCACAGGTTCGGTTCTGCGCGCGCGAGGTGTACGTCCACGATCACGAGAGCCGGACGCGGACGGATCCCGGCGCTGACTGTGTGTACTCACTACAACAGGTCCCACACAGTCCTGGAGAAGACCCCGCCCCACGCCGCGCTCAGCTGCTCCTGCCCGGGGAGAGCGCGGGGAGAGGGGGGGAGAGGGGCCGGACCACCCCCTGGCTCCGGGACATGCGTCAGGGACCTTAAGGACAGAAAGCAGAAAAGCGAAAAGGCTACAATAATAAAAGATCCAAATTCTGATTTATGATCCGCGTATTACGAACAATGGCGCCTTTTTGTAGTTCATTTGAATGCTATTGTGCATGTTGCAGCTTGTACCGTACTATTCATAGGCCATTACATCATTGCTTAGAGGTATTAGTGTAGTTATAAGCGTTTTTTTATGTTAAAAGACTTAAAAATTATGGGTGTCATCTGTGATTCCCCTTTAGCAGAAACTGTGAACATTATTTTTACTTGTTCATGTACATTTATATAATCAAACCTTATTTGACACCAGTCTTTTGCAATTTTTTGCGACTTTTTATTAAAGTGTCCACGACTTTACAGCACCTACGTTTTAGGGCTAAATATGAAATGTTAACCCTTTTCACTCATCTTATGGTTTGGTTTTACAGTTTTTTTAATAGAGGTGTAACGATATCCAAGTCTCACGATACAATATCGTCACGGTATGAACCTCACGGTACGATATTTATTGCAATATCATGGGAAAGCTCGTGATTTAACAATATCCTAATCTCTCGGGTACGATACTTTCACGATATACATCATGACACGATATTTATTGCGATACTTTGTGGAGGCTGACAAAATTGTTAATATGCTATGTTTTCCTCTTAAAATGACTTGACAAGACTTAATCCAAAGAACTAAGACTTAAAAGTGCTTATAACTGTTATTTCTTCTTGTAGTCTGCACTGAAATGGAGCAAAGGATTGATTGATTGGTTTTTATTTCGAGTTTGTGCCAAGAGAGAATCAATAATCATGTATACTACATGTACATTGTAAACAACAGAAAAGCACATTTCTCGAAAAGGAATGGGAAGAAAAACTGATATGAACCCACCACTGTTCATGACATAGTTTCAAAATTTATGTGGTTGCTTCTGTACATTGATCACAGAACTTAACAAATATTTACATGTAGCAAAAATAAATTACATATTATACAAACACCATCATGGAGATCATGGTCTATGTAGTTCCTCTATCTTTTTTTAGCTGTTGCTGCACTATAGCTCTTAATTTAAGCAAAGAGACTTGTAATTTGATATATTGTGATGGTCCATGATGTTATACGATGTCACGATATTTCATTTATTGCTATTTTTTAACATTCAAAATACTATCAGTGCATTTATTGTTGTCTCTTTTAAACAAAAGGCGCATACGTTCAGAAATAATCATAATAACCTGATGATAACTTAACAGGACGCTGAAGTTGCACGAAAGAGATACTAAAATTCCACCACTTTTCCAAAACTTTCATTGAATTTACATATTTTCCAGGATTTCCATGACCGTGGGAACCCTGATTTATATTTTTACTCTTTGTTATTATATTCTATTGTGACGTGTGAGCTACTGTGTCCAAATAATTTCCCTCGTGGATCAATTAAGTTTGTCTAAATCTAAAATGAATCATGACAAAAATGTATTGATTAATAGCATTTATTTTCTACTAAATACAAATAACTAAGCATCATAAAAACACTTAAAATAATCCCCAGCAGCTCTTTACATCGATCACGGCTTGACCTGGTTAATTAACATCTTATATTACAGTACAAAATTGAACAGTAAAAGGCAGTAATTGGCACAGAATAATTTGACCTTTTCACAAACGCTGAAAAACATCTCATCTCAATAAGGCATATTCTGGTTAGTTTTAGAGTTGATTTGTCTTTTCTTCTTTTTAAAATAATACAACTTAAATCGATACTCTCTGAGTTTGCTTTTTTGGTTTGTTTTTTTACATTTCTAAAAACATCATGATAACTAATTCTTAATCATAGTGGTTTTTATCTTGCATAAAATAATAATTATACTTTATGTTAGAATTTGTAATAAATAAGTGCTGAATCTTTCACTTTTAAATTTGTAATCATTTCCAATAAAAGGACTAAAGGAGGTACTGTTAAAAGTGAATGTGCAAAACTTTGATCAAACGCCAAATAACGGCACATAATAATTAATATTAATAGATGGACTTAATTTATATAGTTAATTACAATGAATTTTTTAGTAATCTTCTGTTTTTTGCTTCATGTTAACACTAATAAAACGATAATGTAAAACGTGGCTCATTTGGAAACAGCCTCAGGTCTAATGTAAATGTCACTACATATTTCAGTCTGTTCATTGAATATATTCTTTCACAGTAATACACAAGGGTAAAGAAATGGGTGCGTTCCATCGGTGCTCGCTCTCTCCCTCCTCCTCTCCACGCTCGTCTCCTCGCTCCCTCGCTCTCTGCCTTCTTCTCTCCTCGCTCCCTCGCTCTCTCCCTCCTCCTCTCCACGCTTGGCTCCTCGCTCCCTCGCTCTCTGCCTCCTCCTCCTCTCCTCGCTCTGCCTCCTCCTCGCCTTACTCCTCTCCTGACTCCTCTCCTCCCCTGAACGCGCTCTCCCTCCTCCTCTCTTCACTCGTCTCTTGACTCGTCTCTTCACTCCTCTCCTCCTTCGCTCTCTTTCCCTCCTCCTCTCCTCGCTCCTCTCCTCCCTCCTCCTTTCCTCACTCGTCTCCTCGCTTTCTCTCTCCTCCTGTCTTCACTCATCTTCTTGCTCCTCCCTCCCTCCTCCTCTCTTCACTCGTCTCCTGGCTCCTCTCCTCCCTCGCTCTCTCCCTCCTCCTCTCCTCACTCGTTTCCTCACTCTCTCCCTCCTCCTGTCCTCACTCTCTCCCTCCTCCTCTCCTCCCTCCTCCTCTCTTCACTCGTCTCCTGGCTCCTCTCCTCCCTCGCTCTCTCCCTCCTTCTCTCCTAACAGGACACAGAGTTCAGCGAGTCTCTGCTGCATTTTGGGGACTCCGGACAGAGACGTCTCCAAACGCTGCTTCTCCTCCTGAAAAACACAAAGTGACTCATTGTTTTTACATAAAGAGACGATGATTTGGGTCGTGTCAGGCCCTTTCACTGCTCCCTCTAATATATGCTTATAATAATGGACTTTTGTAAACCAGGACTAAACCAGGACTAAACCAGAACTAAACCAGGGCTAAACCAGGACTAAACCAGGATTATACTAGGACCAAACCAGCGGTAAACCAGAACTAAATGACGACTAAACCAGGAATAACCCGGGCTAAACCAGGACTAAAAAAACAGAGGTAAACTAGAATTAAACCAGAACTAAACCAGGACTAAACCAGGGCTAAACCAGAACTAAACCAGACTAAACCAGGGCTAAACCAGGTAAAAAACTGGGCTACACCAGAACTAAATCAGAAATAAACCAGGACTAAACCAGAACTAAACCAGGACTAAACCAAGGCTAAACCAGGACTAAAAAAACAGGGGTAAACCAGAATTAAACCACATCTAAACCAGGACTAAACCAAGGCTAAACCAGGACTAAACCAGGACTAAACCAGGACTAAATCAGAACTAAACCAGGACTAAACCAGGACTAAACCAGGACTAAACCAAGGCTAAACCAGGACTAAACCAGGACTAAACCAGGGCTAAACCAGAACTAAACCAGGACTAAACCAGGGCTAAACCAGGGAAAAAACTGGGCTACACCAGAACTAAATCAGAAATAAACTAGGACTAAACCAGAACTAAACCAGGACTAAACCAAGGCTAAACCAGGACTAAAAAAACAGGGGTAAACCAGAATTAAACCACATCTAAACCAGGACTAAACCAGGGCTAAACCAGGACTAAACCAAGGCTAAACCAGGACTAAACCAGGGCTAAACCAGGACTAAACCAGGGCTAAACCAGGACTAAATCAGGACTAAACCAGGACTAAACCAGGGGAAAAACAGGGCTAAACCAGAAATAAACCAGAACTAAACCAGGACTAAACCAGGGCTAAAGCAGGACTAAAAAAACATGGGTAAACCAGAATTAAACCACATCTAAACCAGGACTAAATCAGAACTAAACCAGAATTAAACCAGGACTAAACCAGGGGAAAAACAGGGCTAAACCAGAATTAAACCAGAAATAAACCAGGGCTAAACCAGAACTAAACCAGGACTAAACCAGGGCTAAACCAGGGAAAAACTCGGCTAAACCAGGACTAAACCAGCATTAAACCAGGGCTAAACCAGAACTAAACTAGAACTAAACCAGAACTAAATCAGGACTAAACCAGAACTAAAACCAGGACTGTCAAAATCAGCTCTACAAACCCAGTATAAAACAGGATTGTCCTAAAGCACAAACTTACACAATAATAATCAGCAATCATGACCCTTTGTTCGACATAATCACATGTAAACGTGATTTGAGACGGTTCTAGTTCTAATCTAATCCAAATTTTGATGTGTTTGCTGTGCAGGCGCCTCTCCATCAAATATAAAATGGACATTCTGGCAGTGGAAAAGGTGTTCCAAAAATGCCATTAGAATACACACTAATGCTTCTGTCGGTTTCTGGTGCTAATTACATCACATGTGCTCATCACTCAAATATAGGGTTTGGTTAAAAAAATGAATCCATTAGAGGCGGTGTTTTACTTCTGTGTGGTATTAACAGCCAACACATAAAATATTCAGATCATGAGGTTACCTTTTATTGTTTAGAAAATGCAACAGTCGCCAAATATTAAGTATTAACATTCACTTTAGTCTTTGACACTTTGCTCTCCGCATTAAATCACTTCCCGTTCAGAGCGTAATCAGGACACCATCAGTGAGCGCCGCGTTAACGAAACTACTGCACATCGCGTCATGTTTGTCAAACTGTTGTGCACCGTTTTGTATCATGTTAAATAAACCCCGGAGTAAATCGCTAAAACACTCAAACATGCATGGATGACATGATAGAAACAAAAAAAAATCTATTTTACATAATACTCTCTCTTTAAAGAATAAACTCATGTCTCTCAAGCAGAGGGATTATTTTTCTCAAGTTTCTTCTGTTTATAAAGATAATTTTAAACATATCCTTGCTCTGACCCTCGACCTCTGCCTGACAGTCGTAACCACAACAACCACTGCAAACCCAATCACCACGGAAACCACCGCATCAGCAGCATCAGGACCAGGATTAAACCAGACTTAACTAAACCAGACTAAACCAAGACTAAACCAGGACTAAACCAGACTAAAACTAAAATCAGACTAAACCGGGACTAAACCAGGACTAAACCAGACTAAACTAAATCAGACTAAACCAGGACTAAACCGGGACTAAACCAGGACTAAACCAGACTAAACCGGGACTAAACCAGGACTAAACCAGGACTAAACCAGACTAAAACCAGGACTAAACCAGACTAAACCAGGACTAAACCAGACTAAACTAGGACTAAACCAGGACTAAACCAGACTAACTAAACCAGACTAAACCAGACTAAACCAGACTAAACCAGGACTAAACCAAACTAAACCAGACTAAACCAGGACTAAACCAGAACTAAACTAAGGACTAAACAGGACTAAACCAGACTAAAACTAAACCAGACAAAACCAGGACTAAACCAGAACTAAACCAGGACTAAACCACACTAAAGTAAACCAGACTAAACCAGGACTAAACCGGGACTAAACCAGGACTAAACCAGACTAAAAACTAAATCAGGACTAAACCAGGACTAAACCGGGACTAAACCAGGACTAAACCAGACTAAAACTAAACAGGACTAAACCAGACTAAACCAGGACTAAACCAGACTAAACCAGGACTAAACAGAGTAAACCAGGACTAAACCAGACTAAACTAGGACTAAACCAGGACTAAACCAGACTAAACTAAACCAGACTAAACCAGGACTAAACCAGAACTAAACCAGGACTAAACAGACTAAACCAGAACTAAACCAGACTAAACCAGACTAAACCAGACTAAACTAGGACTAAACTAGGACTAAACCAGGACTAAACCAGACTAAACCAGGACTAAACCAGGACTAAACCAGGACTAAACCAGAACTACACCAGGACTAAACCAGACTAAACTAAACCAGACTAAACCAGGACTAAACCAGACTAAACCAGGACTAAACCAGGACTAAACCAGGCCTAAACCAGAACTACAACAGGACTAAACCAGGCCTAAACCAGAACTACACCAGGACTAAACCAGAACTAAACCAGACTAAACCAGGACTAAACCAGGACTAAACCAGGACTAAACCAGCACCGTTTTGTATCATGTTAAACCCCGGGGCAGATCGCTACAACACTTGAACATGCATGGATGACGTGATAAAAAGCAAAAAATTTTACATAATACTCTCTCTTTAAAGAATAAACTCATGTCTCTCAAGCAGAGGGATTATTTTTCTCAAGTTTCTTCTGTTTATAAAGATAATTTTAAACATATCTTTGCTCTGACCCTCGACCTCTGCCTGACAGTCGTAACCACAACAACCACCGCAGACCCAATCACCACGGAAACCACCGCATCAGCAGCATCAGGACCAGGATTAAACCAGACTTAACTAAACCAGACTAAACCAGGACTAAACCAGGACTAAACCAGACTATACCAGACCAAACTAAATCAGACTAAACCAGGACTAAACCAGACTAAACTAAATCAGACTAAACCAGGACTAAACCGGGACTAAACCAGGACTAAACCAGACTAAACTAAATCAGACTAAACCAGGACTAAACCGGGACTAAACCGGGACTAAACCAGGACTAAACCAGACTAAACCGGGACTAAACCAGGACTAAACCAGGACTAAACCAGGACTAAACCAGACTAAACTAGGACTAAACCAGGACTAAACCAGACTAAACTAGGACTAAACCAGACTAAACCAGGACTAACCAGGACTAAACCAGAACTAAACCAGGACTAAACCAGACTAAACCAGGACTAAACCAGACTAAACTAGGACTAAACCAGGACTAAACCAGACTAAACTAAACCAGACTAAACCAGGACTAAACCAGAACTAAACCAGGACTAAACCACACTAAAGTAAACCAGACTAAACCAGGACTAAACCGGGACTAAACCAGGACTAAACCAGACTAAACTAAATCAGACTAAACCAGGACTAAACCGGGACTAAACCAGGACTAAACCAGACTAAACCGGGACTAAACCAGGACTAAACCAGACTAAACCAGGACTAAACCAGGACTAAACCAGGACTAAACCAGACTAAACCAGGACTAAACCAGACTAAACTAGGACTAAACCAGGACTAAACCAGACTAAACTAAACCAGACTAAACCAGGACTAAACCAGAACTAAACCAGGACTAAACCAGACTAAACTAGGACTAAACTAGGACTAAACCAGGACTAAACCAGGACTAAACCAGGACTAAACCAGGACTAAACCACACTAAAGTAAACCAGACTAAACCAGGACTAAACAATATGACACCTAACAGTAGAATGGACATACTTTAAGGCAGCAGTGATCTCATATAAAAAGCATTTCTCTATCAATAATATTTTTAATATGTTTAAGTAAAGACTGGGCTTGTTATTGTCTTTTGGCAGACAAAACTAAATCAGGACTAAATCAGGGCAAAACCAGGCCTAAACCAGAACTAAACCAGGACTAAACCAGACTAAACTAAACCAGACTAAACCAGGACTAAACCAGACTAAACCAGGACTAAACCCGGACTAAACCAGGCCTAAACCAGAACTACACCAGGACTAAAACCAGACTAAACCAGACTAAACCACCAGGACTAAACCAGACTAAACCAGGACTAAACCAGACTAAACCAGGACTAAACCAGACTAAACCAGGCCTAAACCAGAACTACAACAGGACTAAACCAGGCCTAAACCAGAACTACACCAGGACTAAACCAGAACTAAACCAGACTAAACCAGGACTAAACCAGGACTAAACCAGGACTAAACCAGCACCGTTTTGTATCATGTTAAACCCCGGGGCAGATCGCTACAACACTTGAACATGCATGGATGACGTGATAAAAAGCAAAAAATTTTACATAATACTCTCTCTTTAAAGAATAAACTCATGTCTCTCAAGAGGGATTATTTTTCTCAAGTTTCTTCTGTTTATAAAGATAATTTTAAACATATCCTTGCTCTGACCCTCGACCTCTGCCTGACAGTCGTAACCACAACAACCACCGCAGACCCAATCACCACGGAAACCACCGCATCAGCAGCATCAGGACCAGGATCAGAAACAGAGTGTGGCCTCGGGCGAGCACTGAAACTTTATCCACTGCCCACACACTTCATCACTATATGAGCTGTTATAGCAAGATACAGGGCAATGAGTTTAACAGACGAGGAGGAGAAGGAGGACTAGACCAGGACTAGACCAGCACTAAACCAGGACTAAACCAGGACGAAACTGGAGATTACAGGACTAAAGTTGGACTAATTAAAACAGATTTATATGAGCTGCTATAACAAGATACAGGGCAATGAGTTTAACAGATGAGGACAAAAAGAAGGACTAAACCAGGACTAAAGCAGCACTAAAGTAGGACTAAAGCAGGACCAAACCAGGATTAAACTGGAGACTACAGGACTAATATGAGCTGTTATAGCAAATTACAGGGCAATATGTTCAACAAAAGAGGACAAAAAGAAGGACTAAACCATGACTAACCCAGGACTAAACCAGGACTAAACCAGGACTGAACCAGTACTAAACCAGGACTAAACAAGGACTAAACCAGAACTAAACCAGGACTAAACCAGAATGAAACTGGAGACTACGGGACTAAAGTTGGACTAATTAAAACAGATTTATATGAGCTGTTCTAGCAAGCTACAGGGCAGTGAGTTCAACAGAAGACAACAAAGAGAAGGCACAGGACAAAACCAGGACATAAACCAGGACTAAACCAGGTCTAAACCAGGTCTAAACCAGGACTAAACCAGGACTACATCAGGACAACATCAGGACTACATCAGGACTAAACCAGGACTAAACTGGAGATAACAGAACTAAACTAATGATGGACTAATTAAAACTTAAAGGCTTAAGACTTAAAGGTGCACTATGTAACTTTTTGGCTGGGGGTCCATCACCTGCTTGTTTCTATGGCGATGTCATTGCTCTGCCTGAAATGTTCCACAGTATGACATTAAACAGCTCTACCTTACATTTATAATTTATTTATTATTACAGGTGATTTTATAGCTCAAAAATACCTAAAAAAAGCAGGCATTCTCTCCACGGATCTGACCTGTAACTTGGTCTGGTTTGGTCTGCATGAAGATAGAAAGGTTTAATGCCATACTGCGAAACATTCCAGATGAAGCAAAAACATCTCCATGGAGAAAAGTATTTGATAGACCCTCCACCAGCAAAGTTGCACAGTGCAGCTTTAAAATAGTCCAGCCTGTCATCAATTAACCAGGGAGTTGGTAGTTAGATAACCCACTTGTTCTAATTAATATTCCAAACGTGTCCTTGGGCAAGACATCTCATCGTGTCTGTCCCCGTCTGCGGACAGAGTGTGTGTGAATGGTTCCATGTTCGTAAAAGCTATAAAAATTCTATCTATTTCTTCAGCCATTTCACACGTCCACAGGGGGTGCTCAGGAGGTGCTCAGGAGGTGTTAGACTGATAGTAAAACAATATTCAGAGTTCAAACAGGCTGAAAATGGAAACTGCAGATTTTCACTCCCACCAGGAGCCATTTTGAGGCCCTAAAGTTACAATTCAGAAACACTGGTCTGTGCCAGTTCTACAAGGCTCAAATTTCAAACTTTATTTCAATACTAAGAAGTAGATTTGATACTCAACACTGAATCAGATACAACGATCATAATAAAAACAGTATGTCTTTAGACAATAGAATGTGATGTTCAATACTACTACTACTACTACTACTACTACTACAGATTTAACTACTACTACTACTACTACTACAGATTTAACTACTACTACTGCTACTACTACAGATTTAACTACTACTACTACTACAGATTTAACTACTACTACTACTACTACTACACTACTACTACTACTACTACTACTACTACTACTACTACAGATTTAACTACTACTACTATTACTAGAAATTTAATTACTGCTATTACAGATTTAACTACTACTACTGCTACTACTCCAGATTTAACTACTACTACTGCTACTACTCCAGATTTAACTACTACTCCTCCTCCAGATTTAACTACTACTACTACTACTCCTCCTCCAGATTTAACTACTACTACTACTACTCCTCCTCCAGATTTAACTACTACTACTACTACTCCTCCTCCTCCAGATTTAACTACTACTACTACTACTCCTCCTCCAGATTTAACTACTACTACTACTCCTCCTCCAGATTTACTACTACTACTACTACTCCTACTCCAGATTTAACTACTACTACTACTACTCCTCCTCCAGATTTAACTACTACTACTACTACTCCAGATTTAACTACTACTACTACTACTCCAGATTTAACTACTACTACTACTACTCCAGATTTAACTACTACTACTACTACTCCAGATTTACTACTACTACTACTACTACTACTACTACTACTACTACTACTACTACTACTACTACTACTACTACTACTCCTCCAGATTTAACTACTACTACTACTACTCCAGATTTAACTACTACTACTATAGATTTAACTACTGCTACTACTACAGATTTAACTACTGGTACAACTACTACTACTACTACAGATTTAACTACTGCTACTACAACTACTGCTACTACAGATTTAACTACTACTACTACTACTACAGATTTAACTACTGCTACTACTACTACTACAAATTTAATTACTGCTACTACTACTACTTCTATAGATTTAACTATTACTAGAAATTTTATTACTGCTATTACGGATTTAACTACTACAACTACGAGTACAAGTACAACTACTACTACTACTGCTACTAGAAAGTAATTTTCAATACTAGTCTATGTGCTTTTATACTTGTTCTGATGCAGCTCAAGATCATTCTAAAACTTTAGGAAAGGGTCATTTCTCTCCTGTGAATGTGACTTTTCAATATCGATACCTGCTTGAATGAGTATCTCATTTTAGTATCAATTAGTATTTGATTTTCCAAAATTTTGACCAACCTGGCACTACTAAAAAGAGGACCAGACCAGAACTAAACCATATATCCACTGGGACTAAACCAGGACTAAAACTAGTGGAGCAAACTTGTAGTAAATCGTGGGTAAACAAAGCTAAAACCAGGTCTAAACTAGAACTAAACCAAGTCTGAACCCAGGTTGGAAACTTCTAATAAACAAACCCAAGCCTGAAAGTGTTTGTTAACAAAACGCTACATTTTGCAATAAATGTAAACCCACTGCTCTGTACATAACTAATTTCTATGTAATTTCCCGCTCCCCTGTCATGAACCCGAACGCGGCGGAGATAACGAGCTGATAACGTGTTTCCATGGCAACCCTAATGACTTTTTATGGGCTTTTATTGGTCCAAACCTGCAGAGACAGACGAGTGGAGGCGTCGAGAGGCACGAACTTCCATCCGCCCTCGCCGTCAAACTGTAAGAGGTGAGAGTGGTACTTCCTGATGGACACAGAAGACAAGAAATTCTAAGTTACATCATCAGAATAAAATATAAATATAAATATAAATAAAATGTACTACAGCTCGAGGTCTATCTAGAGGAGTCAGTATGAGCTCTCGAGAAGTAGACGCTGATCCCAAAAGACTAAACCAAGGCTCTGAAGTATGAATTATGGTGTTTGTTTAGGATAGTAATAACAGTAAGTCACTTAAGTACGGGTTATAGTACAAGTACTACTATTAATGGCCATCGGACTACTTTGCACTTCTGGCTGTAGGATGTGGGACTGTAAATGAGTAAGTGAAAAAGACATTAAGATTATGTGTCAATGGATACTACTACTACAGATTTAACTAATGCTTCTACTACTACTACTGCTACTCCTACTCCTACTACACCTACTACTGATTTAACTACTGCTGCTGCTACTATTACAAATTTAACCACTACTACTACTACTACTACTACAACAAATTCAGCTACTGCTACTGCTACTACTACTACTACTACTACTACTACTTGCTACTACTACTACTGCTACTGCTACTACTACTACTACTGCTGCTGCTACTACAGATTTAACTACTGCTACTACTACTTCTGTTACTACTACTGCTACTACTACTACTACTACTACTACTACTACTACTACTACTACTACTACTAATAATAATAATAATACTGCTACTACTACTACAGATTTAACTACTACTACTGCTACTACTACTACTACTGCTACTACTACAGATTTAACTACTACTACTGCTACTACTACTACTGCTGCTACTGCTGCTACTAGTACTGCTACTGCTACTACTACTACTACTACAGTGCCTGTTATAAAATGTGGAAATGTATTAAATGAGAAAGACCATAAAAACTGGTATCAATGAAAACTGTTACTACTACTGCTACAACTACTACTACTACTACTATTTTTGCACCTGCTACTCCTACATTACAATGCTATTTTTATTTTTAAGGTGTGGGTGTGTAAGACAGACATTAGGAGGCTTAGGTAAAGTATACAAACAAATGTCCGTAAACCCTCTCTGTGGAGTACACACTTGCACTGGATGCAGTTTTGGAAGTCATCAGAGCTAAAGGTAATTGATGTGAGGTTCCCCCCATTAGGAGAGAGGGAGTACACAGAGTAATGAGTCCTGTCTGCTCCTCTCAACAGACAGTGTGCTGACAGCTCCGCTCTTCATTGTGTCTTCTTCTTCTGCTGCTACTGCTGCTGCTGTGGAATTGCTGCTGTGAAACTATTGTGTAAAATCAAAGAGCATGAACAGAGGGTGTGTCTGTGGGCAGTGCCTCAGAGCTCTGCTGACCCCTACAGGCCACACGGAAAACACATGTAGTAAAAACGCAGTAAGATGGGTTGACAGTCATAATTTGTGTTTTAGTTGAAAATGTTCCCTTAGACAGGTACTTCTTAAAGCTGCACTATGTAACTTTTTTGTAGGGAGTCCGTCATCTGTTTGTTTTTATGGATATGTCATTGCTCTGCCTAGAATGTTCCACAGTATGACATTAAACAGCTCTACCTTACATTTGTTAAATTACAGGTTTTAACTTGCATTCTGACTGTGAGCAGGGTCACCTCTCCAAAGATCTGACTTATAACTTGGTCTGGTTTAGTTTCCATGACGATATAAAGGTTTAATGCCATACTGTGAAACATTCCAGACAAAGTAATAACATTTCCATCGAAAAAAGCATTTGATGGACCCTCCAAAAGAAATGTTACATGCATTTAAAACACTATGAACACATCTATGCTAGAGTAGCAAGTAGTTGCATGGTAGTAGGGATGTAACAATAAGTGAAATATCGTGATATCGTATCGTCAAAAGTCTAACAATAATATCGTGGGTTGTCACAATATACTGAATTACAAGTTCCTTTGCTTAAATGCATGGTTTTACAATAGCACCAATTAATAAACATTGAGAACTACATATCCCATGATTCATTTCAGTGCAAACAACATGAAGTAATATGTTTTTTACTTTAATTCTTGAGATATTATGACAGTAATTATTCACACCAAAATCTTGTCAGGGAATTTTAAAAGCAAAAAAAGTGTCCTATCTACAATTATATCAGCTTCTCCAAAATATCGCAATAAATATCGTACCGTGAGATGCATATCGTGATAATATCGTACTGAGAAATTTGGATATCGTTACATCTCTACATGGTAATAAACTAAAAATCCTTGGTTACAATAGTAAAAGTGTATTTGCAAATGTACTGCTACTGATAGTGGTAGTAGTAGTCATAATAATAATTCGTAGTAAATAAATAATTAAGTAGTACCTGTAGAAATGTATGTAGTAGCTTTAAATGTAACAGTAATGGTATTGGTATTAATGGGTTTCAGATTTTTTAAATATTGTGATATCTTACTTAAATAATTTTATCCCCAAAATAGATGTGTTTATAATGTTGTACTATTTTCTGATCCATGTTATAATGTTGTTTCCTCATCATAAACATACCTGTAGTTGTGTGGAGTTTTTCTCACAAACTGAAAACGCTCTGTTCTACCTTGTGATAATGAAGATTTCCACACGCCTTCACTAGAATCATTTGAATAATTTCAGCCCTGGAAATTGCCAATCACTACAGAACAAAAGGTCAAAGGTTGCCGTTAAATTGAAAACTACGACTTCGTAACATCACAAGGTGGAACAGAGCATTTTGAGCTTTGGAGATGTAGACAGACTAATAATAAAGTGTTACTGAAAAATGTGTGAAAAAAAAAAAAAAAACTCTGGGTATGTTTATGAGAAGGTTATAACATTATAACATGGCTAAAATCTCACAAGAGGCAATTTTGTGTAATAATAGACCCTTAATAGCTGTGGCAGTGCTGCTAGAATAGGATCACTCTGAAACCCAAAGTACAATTCGTAGCAGAAACATTTTTGTAGCAGCAGCTGTGGTAGTCGTACGTTTCTGTGGTAAACATCTGCATTATAACAGAGTGCTGTGCAGCTGTTGTGAGGACTGACCATAGTGAGGGTCTGTGTGTAATTGACAGCAGAGCTATCCCAGCATCCTTTGCGGCCTCGAAAATGCTTCCTTCCACATCGATGCTGACAGCGCTGGTGCACTCGTCCAGGAGAGCATATCTGGGTCTGCAAACAGAAAGAGACAGGAACCCCACTTAATCCCACTGTGGGACAAACAATCTGTATTTATATTTTTTTATGTAGCTTCAATGTATGTATTTCTTTCAGTTTTTGGAATTGTCTTTAAAGGTGCACTATGTAGCTTTTTGGTTACGGGTCCGTCACCTGCTTGTTTCTATGGAGAGCTGTCTGGAATGTTCCACAGTATGGCATTAAACAGCTCGTCCTCACATTTATTAAATTACAGGTGGTTTTACTGCTCAAAAATACGTAGTTAAACAGATATTCAGACGGTCTCTATGATGATAGAAAGCTTTAATGCCATACTGTGAAATATTCCAGACAAAGTGATCACATCTGCATGGAGAAAAGCTTTTGAAGGACCCTCTTCTAGAAAAGTTACACAAAGCACCTTTAATACGGCACTGATTTTGTTCTGAATGAACCAAAAAATAAGCTAGAGACAGTTTGATGACAGTGAGTACATTTACATGCACACTATAAATCGGTTCATTAACTAATTATGATCAGATTATTGAAATCACTTGCATCTGAGTAATCTGATTTCTTTCTAATTGTTGAAAAGAAAAAAAAAAAGGGTAAACTACAGTAGACAAAAAAAATGAATGAACGTGTTAAAGGTGCAACTGGTTGGGAGTCAGCCTGCTTGTTTCTCTGGATCTGTCATTGCTCTGCCTGGAATGTTCCATAGTATGACATTAAACAGCTCTATCGTACGTTCATCTTACATTTATTAAATTGCAGCTCAAAAATACCTAAAAAAAACATTCTGACTGTGAGCGGGGTCGCCTCCCCACAGATCTGACCTGTAACATGGTCTGGTTTGGTCTCCATGAAGATAGAAAGGTTTAATACTATACTGTGAGGTATTCTAGACAAAGCAATAACATCATGGAAACACACAATGCACAATGCAACTTTAAAGTCAGAAAGCGTTATTTAATTCATTATAGTTTGTCTTCCAAATGCAGCAGTTACTCTTCAAATCCACTGAACTGCTGAAATACCAAAATGTACTGTATGTCTATGTCTTCAGTGCATACAAGCCCACGCAAAATCTGATCTAATTATTGTGTTACCAGATTTTTAATGGCCTTGTAAATCGCAGTAACAGTTGCTGCAGAGGGGAGAAAATATGAAATAAAAACAGACTGTTGAAAAATCCACTAACGACGCAGATTTGTATAAAGAAAAAATACCGGTGATAGAACATCCTCGCCATGCCCATCCTTTGCTTCTCTCCTCCAGATAACACGTCCTTCCAGTCACTCACTGCCTCCCAGCCTGAAAGAACAATACATAATTCATCTTATACGGATCTTCAACACTTTCTAGCCCAAATTTTAAACAAGTGTAAGGTTACGTGGAGCCGTACCTCCCTCCCTGTCCAGGATGTAGAGCAGGTGGACAGTCTTGAGGATCTTCTCCAGGTCAGAGTCTGAGACGCCTCTGCTCCTCATGTTCTCCACAGAGTCTGGGTAGATCACCTGGTCCCTCAGTGTGCCCTCAGACATGTACGGCCTGGAGAGGAGGAGGAGGAGTTAAAAACAAGATATCATGTTTGTAGCAATCATAGTAGTAGCTAGGGCTGGGCGATAAGGATCAAAAAATATATCTCGATATATTTTGCTATATCTCGATATACGATATATATCTCGATATATGTTCAAGAAAAAATAACCCCCTAAAACTGAAAACTGCAAAAACAAATCTTCCAAATTCCACAAGGTCTTATTTTTAACTGAAGTGTAAGAGGTTGACAGTTCATATAGGAACATTTAAGATTACAAAAAACCCTAATTACATAAATAATAATTTAACTGTAAAATAAAAGAAATAATACATATTTTCTTCTTTTCATTCATAAATAAAACTACTCAACACAAGTTCATCTTTGCATTAACTCTGTTATCCAGACCATAATCATAAACATGAGCTCATTTAGCAGAAGAAGCTCAGGATGTTCCTTATTTCAATAGATCCATGTTATTATCCAGCAGTAAGGAGCTCTGAGGTTTAATCCCACAATCCACTGCAGATCAAACCAAACGTTTCCAAACACTATTGTACAAGTGACACTGCAGAAGATTATTAATTAAAATCTTCTGCATAAATAAACTTTACATTGCTAAACTTTACAATATATAAAGCATAACGACTCTAGAGCCACATCAGCCCGTTTGAGATAATAATGTGTTTAATGCAGTTTTGCGCACGTGTGTTTACGTTTTACAGAAATGAAACTTAAGTGCATGGCTCATTTGCATAAACAGCGCACTTCTCACGCAGCTCAGCTCGTTTAGCTTCTTTCGGGCTAAAGGACGCGACTCGGTGGAATATGAGGATGTGCTGATGATGGTTTTGTCTGTAAATGGTGGAAAAGGTTCGTGGTGCTTGAAGTTTTTCACTGGCACCAACTTTCGGCGTTACTACGACAGTGAGGAGTGAAGGAGACACGAGCGAACAAAATCAGGGAGGCGGGGCGCACGCGGAGGTGACGAGAGAGAAGACAAACAAGCGAAGCAACGAAATCAGAATTGAATATAAGCATTATATCGATATATACGATATGTCAGAATTCATATTCTCGATATATTTAAAATATCGATATATCGCCCACCCCTAGTAGTAGCAATAGTAGTATTAAAGTATTAAAGGTGCATTGCGTAACGTTTCTGTTGGAGGGTCCATCAAATGCTTTTTTTCATGGAAATATTATTGCTTTATTTAGAGTGATCCACAATATAGATTAAACTTATCTATCACAAGGGAGGCAAGCAGGTTACAGCACCACGCTTCATTACAGTTCAGATCTGTGGAGAGTCGCCCCTATTCACAGAAGGAACGATTGTATTTTTGAGCAACAGAAAATACCCATAATAAAAAGATGCAAAATGTATATGTTTAAAGTCATAGCATGGGACATTCCAAGCAAAGCAATAACATCTCCACTGAAACAACCAAAAAGTTACATAGTGCACCTTTAATCCTAGGCCTGTCACAACAACAACAACAAAAAAACTGAACTGAAATCCAATATCTTGCTGTAAAGTAAAAGTAAATATAGACGATGAACGATAATGTTGAAACCAAACTATAAAGCAGAATTATCCCCAAAAAACTATCCTAAATGTAAAATATTGTTAAAAATATGAGCTGCAAAAAATTAATTCCATAATAAAACACTTTAGTAGATAGTATGTACCTATAATGAGTCATAGAAGTTCACAATTGAATCTTCTACAGCTCAAATCTGATCTGATCTAAAAAATAACCCACAAGTACAAAGAAAAACTCCCAATAAATAAACAGACACTCAAAAATAATAGTTCCATCTGTCATGTATTGAACAGTTGATACATTAATTACAGTGACAGGCCTACTGAAGCTGCAGGAGTAGTAGTAGTTGAAGAAACTGGAGTCTAAGCCAACCCCCACCCCACTTTCTTGTTATTTTATTATTATTATTTAGTAGTAGTAGAATATGTATTATCCATTGTCTGGATCAAAGTTCTACATCTGTTTACACATCAGTAAAAAACTATGTGAAACCAAAACTGGAGTAGTATCTGTAGTACCTTTGGGGGATATAAAACATGTGCTCTGGCTCAGGTCTGTACAAAGCGCCTCCATAAACCGGCCACAGTCCAGACAGGATCCGAAACAGAGAGGACTTCCCACAGCCATTTGGACCCGTGATCAAGACATTCATGCCATCTTCAACCTGGAAAAAACAGAAGAAACATTATTAAACAACAGTGTCCATCATGTACCATCTGCATTCTGCCCACAGGGAAGACGAGCCAAAAAATGTGTGTTATAATCTCTTCTTTCACTGTATCCAAAAATCTCTGGCTCTGCTCCTGTCTGGTCCTTTGGCTCAGCTCCTATCTCTTCTTCTAGCTCTGCTCCTGTCTCCTCCTCTGGCTCTGCTCCTCTGGCTCTGCTCCTCTGGCTCTGCTCCTCTGGCTCTGCTCCTCTGGCTCTACTCCTCTGGCTCTACTCCTCTGGTTCTGCTCCTGTCTGCTCCTCTGGCTCTGCTCCTGTCTGCTCCTCTGGCTCTCGTCCTGTCTGCTCCGCTGACTCTGCTCCTCTGGCTCTGCTCCTCTGGCTCTGCTCCTGTCTGCTCCTCTGGCTCTCGTCCTGTCTGCTCTGACTCTGCTCTCTGGCTCTGCTCCTCTCTCTGCTCCTCTGCTCTGCTCTGGCTCTGCTCCTGTCTGCTCCTCTGGCTCTGTCCTGTCTGCTCTGGCTCTGCTCCTCTGGCTCTGCTCCTCTGGCTCTGCTCCTCTGGCTCTGCTCCTCTGGCTCTGCTCCTCTGGCTCTGCTCCTCTGGCTCTACTCCTCTGGCTCTACTCCTCTGGCTCTGCTCCTCTGGCTCTGCTCCTCTGGTTCTGCTCCTCTGGTTCTGCTCCTCTGGCTCTGCTCCTCTGGTTCTACCCCTTTGGTTCGGCTCCTCTGGCTCTGCTCCTCTGGCTCTGCTCCTTTGGTTCTGCTACTGTCTGCTCCTCTGGCCCTGCTCCTCTGGCCCTGCTCCTCTGACTCTGCTCCTCTGACTCTGCTCCTCTGACTCTGCTCCTCTGACTCTGCTCCTCTGGCTCTGCTCCTCTGGCTCTGCTCCTCTGGCTCTGCTCCTTTGGTTCTACCCCTTTGGTTCGGCTCCTCTGGCTCTGCTCCTCTGGCTCTGCTCCTTTGGTTCTGCTACTGTCTGCTCCTCTGGCCCTGCTCCTCTGGCCCTGCTCCTCTGGCTCTGCTCCTCTGGCTCTGCTCCTCTGGCTCCGCTCCTCTGGCTCTGCTCCTGTCTGCTCCTCTGGCTCTGCTCCTCTGGCTGCGCTCCTGTCTGCTCCTCTGGCTCTGCTCCTGTCTCTTCCTCTGGCTCTGTTCTCGTCTCAGATCTTTCATTAACATGCAGAGCCCACAGAGAAGTGCCTTGAGGAGATACAAGTGAATTTGGGAGCTTGTTGCAGCATGTTTAAGCTCTCTCTTGGTCTAAAACTGTTTCATTATACACTTTGAAAATCCTGGAAGTTTTGACCCGAGGCAAAACTTGTTCTGTCCTCGTTGCTGTGGAAACTGAGTGAAAATAACAGCTTTACAAAGGACGGGGAGGAAAGTAGGTGTCAATTTTACACAATTCACTTTTTGCCATATATTACACACTCAGTTCTAACTTTACCTGTTCTAAACTCTGAGTAACCCCTAAAATGCCCTACTTACATCTGACTTAGAGCTGCTTAAGAATTCTACAAGTTGTAATAATTTCATTTAACTGTCCCGTGAAGTAAATTAGTTGTAATTTAAATGTATATTGTATGATTCGTTTAAAGACTCAAAATAAAAAATAGAGGTTTGCCAAAATCACAAAACATTCACTCTTCCAAAAACATGCAAAACACTCTCAAAAAATTTAATTGTTCCATAATTATTTCATTAAAAGGAGCTGTACAAGATTTCTATTGAAAAACAGAATTAATTTTTAAACAGTTTGCAGTGGTCCAAAGTTATTCCTCACTTGCCTTCTGCATTTTGGACATCCTAATTATTCACCACATTAAGTTTATACATTTTACAGAGCAGAGACCAGTGTGCACTTCCTGATTATGAGACAATAAAACACTTTGAAATTTGATGCAGATACCACGCAGCACACTTACTCTGACCTGAAGAGCTGCCAAGACAATATATCTGTGCTGTCGATTATGGAAAAAATCATTATTATGATTATTTTGGTCAATATTGAAATCACAATTATTAAAACGATATTTTTTTCATTACACGATGCATTTATTCAGCAATTCTCTTAAAAAAAAAACAAAAAAACACTTTGTTATTGATAATTTATGCTAAATTTTTACATTGAAAATAAATATAAGCTTACCTGTACTTTACCTTTTTGCGATCTATCAAACATAACATGAATAAAATATACTCTGAACATGAAATAAGGCATAGAAAAACATAAATGCACCCAAAATAAACTACATATATATAGCTGTTATACAATATCTATATTTAAAAATAAAATAAATATCCTTAGTACTGGGACATATTTTGTTCAGAAACACTGGGAGAAAACAGGTCCCTTTAACTATTGTTTCAAATTTACAAGTAATCTTCAGGGAGCCGCATAATTTCATTTAAAAAATAGTCTGACTTCCATTTAACAAGGCTTGTGACTGGCCTTGATCTTACTAACTTCAGTGCAAAACCAAAATCCAATCCAAGATGTTTTGAAGTTGGAAAAAGTCTCACAATTCTGAACGTTTCAACTCTGTGGAAGGGTATCCCCAGTGGAATTTAACTTCCATCCAAATCCAAGTTAACAAAGTTTTGTCAGATGAGAGAGAGGCTGAAATGGACCAATCAGAGAGCGGGGAGTTCAGGGGTCGACCGCAGACCTCGAGAACAGACCAATCAGAGGGCAGCGGGGGTCAAAGGTCAAGCGTTAGCCACAGAGAGACTTCAGTTAGAGCGGCTAATTCCTCAACAGTGAGTTAAAGGGAACATAATCACTGCTTTGAATGGGACACACGCAGAGTTAGCGATGTTTAATGAGATGCAGGCGCCCGTGTGAACTTTGACCCCGGACAGAGCCAGAGACATGGAAAGAATGAGAGGAAATGGAAAAGGGATTGTTATGTAGTTATGGAATGAGGAGGTTTAAAGGTCCTATATTACACAAAGTGGATTCTTGTGAGCTTTAAGTCATGTTATAATGCTGATACTGCCTCAAAAACACACACAGATTTGGTTTTGTTTCATTCACGCATGTTTGAGTAAACCGGCATTATCAGTCCGTATACATCTCCAAAGGTCAAAATGCTCTTTTCCACCTTGTGATGTCATGTAGTGGTATCTTTTAACTGAACAGCTACATTTTAACTTTAGTTCAGTAGAGAGTATTTTCTGATGGGAGAAGGACTGACGAAATGTGGAGTGTGTGAATGTGCAGTATATACAATATAGATAATATACAGTATGTTACAGTGTAGTTTGTAGTGAATATATACAAATAAATATGGCAGGATGAACAGGAGGGAATTAGATATAATATACATGGGAAGATGTATTGTAAACAGTATATACTATGAACAAATATACAGGGTGGCTATAGAAATAAATATGTATGAGCATAAATAAGTAAAAAAAAAAATATATAAACAGTATAAATACAGTACGCCATAAATAAGTAAAGTTATGTGTCAGATGTAATATGAGTATGTAAGCATGTTGTGCAGAGATAACAGCATTGATGATATGTACACATGTACATATCATCAATGCTGTTATCTCTGCATAAGTTAGTTAGATGGAGGGATTGGGTACATTCCTTGTCCATGGGGGAGATGAAGAGGGAAGGGGTGAGTGGGTGACATGGTAAGGGGACATGGGAGTTCAGCAGGCGACAAAGTTCAGTATGGAAACAGTTATGGGGAAGAAACTATTCCTTAACCTGCTGGTTTTGGTCCTAATGTTTCTGAAGCGCCTTCTGGAGGGGAGGAGTTGGAAAAGTCTTTGGTTGGATACGAGGGTTTTGTGTGTTAATCATGTGTGAATTAAACAAAACACAACTCCGGGTCTGTTTTTGATGAGGAAACAACCTTATATAACATAGATCTGAAAATAGTGTGAATAGTAAATACGGGCCCTTTAATAACGCTGTAGAAAGACCCATAGACGACCCAGAGGACTGCAAGATGAATTTGTACTACTACACTTCGGGATAATTATGTTTAAAGTTTGCAAGGTGAAATAAATCATAATAAACTTCATACTGTTTTCAGCAACAACCAATAAAACCAACATATTACAATTACTCATGTTTTAATGGCCTCCCATGAGCGGCCACATTCAAAGAAGGCAACTTTTCTCATTTTGTTTCATTTTTCATCTTATACACAGCACACTGGTGTATTGAGAAAGTACCCAATGGATAAAATATTACATTTAGCACAGTACAAGTAGAAATTTAATAGGATGACGCGCTGAATTGGACCCTGAGGTGAAATAGTCAATCAAAATGCAGCGTTTCTTCAGTCTGACAGTGACACCTTGTGGTCAGAGTCACACACTGCATATAACCCAACTATTACACTTAAAAGTAAAGTATATGAACTGAATAACATTAGTGAGAATAGCTGATTAAAAGTACAATTCTGCTAAAATATAGTCAAAGTGATGCAGTCAAATTAAAAACATTATTAAACGGGAACTATGTATGTGTTTTAGGTGGAGGAATTTTTTCTTAATTTTTTTGTTTTGCCTCAAATGTTCCCCAACAAATCATGAAGCTAATCAAACTCTAATGAAGACAAGCAAGTGACTTTGCCAAACAACATAGTGTATTATTGGCAATAAGAAAATCTATACCGTATATTTTTTTTTAAATAGAAGAACAGTGGACTGTGTTGGGAAGTAACTCAATACATGTACTGATATACGTGTTCTAAATACTAATTTACTGCACCAGAATACAGTTACATTTTCATTTGGTGGTATTCAGAATATAGTTACCGTATTTTTCGGACTATAAGGTGCACCGGATAATAAGGCACATCAAGTGAAACAAATTGACGACACTTGAGACTGATCCCTTAGCTCAGACGTCCACGATCCACTGGCAGATTGTGGTGTAATTCGCCCGACGTTGCCTCTCTGTCTTGGTGAATGTGTATTATGAATGTGAATGAGGGTGGATAATTTAAGTTTGTTTTTGTATTTCCTATGAGGAGGACTACATTAAGTAATGATGTGTTTAATTCAGCTTTGCACACATTTGTTTACATTTTACAGAAACAAAACTTAAAACCGCATGGTTAATTTGTATAAACTATAAGCACTGAAAAAAAACTTACTCCTTGTGCTCTGATGCGATCAGCTTCTGTCGGACTAAAGGACACGACTCAGTGGAATATGTGTGTTCTTTCTGCAACAAGGTGAATACTTCGCCCTTTACTAGGTGAGGCTCCAAACTACATTAGCTGTAATGCTCCGACAATCCATCAAGCAGTGTGGCTTCGTAGTTTACCAAAGTCGTACTAAAACATTGTGACAGATTTTTGAGCCCATCACATAAAATTGGTTCGAGGTCAGTAAGCACAACCAGAATTAATACATAAGGTGCACCAAATTATAAGGTGCACTGTTGATTTTTGAGAAAATAAAAGGATTTTAAGTGTCCCAAAAATATGGTACTTTAGTAGGTTCATAAGAATAAATTGTATTGCTTGATGACACCACTTATATCAATATTAGCCAAAAAAGAGAAAAAAAAGGAAGAAAGAAAAGAAAACAACGCTTCTGTGTATGTGCAAATTTTACCTCTTCAGTTGGTCATAGAAACATAAAGCATATTTTAATTCTGCATTTTGTTTTTACTCTATAATTAAATGCAAAATGATGTAGATGTATTATAAGTATTCAGAATGCAGAATATGTTACAAAATACATTTTAATGCAGGTACTCTGTATTGTGTAACTAAAATCATTTTCAAAGTATTCTTTCCATCACTGACAGTGGACATATGTTACAGTTACAGTGAGTTGGGTACCTGTATGTTGAGGCTGGACACCACCACGTCTCCTGTGGGCGTGATGATCGGGAGGTTCATGCAGCGGATGCCCTTCTCCACACTGTGCACCTGACCTGTGCACCACATGTCAGAAAGAACAAGAGTTTTATACAGTGCTTTTCTGTACTCAAAGTTACATTACAACCAATCCCACGAACAAATTCTATACAGGCAACAGAGTGTGAAGTGTCTTGCCCAATGACACCAAGGCAATGTGCAATCAATAGAAAAAAGTTTAAATCTGTCAAAGGGCCAATTTTTTAACGATTTCTAGCGGTTTGGCTGAGAAGAGAACCACACAGTTAACTAACCACATTTTTTTGGTGAATATGTTTCATCAATCATCCATGTAGCTTCTTCAGTTCTGATTAAAATGGACAGAAATCAACCTTCTTTTGATATGGATCTTACCTGGACATTATTATTACACAAATATTCAGTCTACAGGTTAAAGGTCAAATGTTTCTACTAACTGAGCAGCTGGGGTCCAGATTACATGGTGGTGCGTTACCTCTGATGTGCAGCTGGCTGACCCTGTGTCCGTGCTGCACCACAGCCTGCTCCCCTCTGCCCCCCCTCTCCTCCTCTGTGCTCCCACTCTCTCTGTCCTCCTCGTCTCTGTCTGAAGACCGTTTGTACACGCCATTATTAACATCTTCAAACACATCCAGCAACTCAGACACTCGGGACGTGTACCCAGCCAGCTCCGTCACCTGAACACAAATTTAGAACAATTAAGCTTTACTCTACTGTAAATTAACCACTAATTAATATCATAACATTTCATTATTATGATAATGATAAAATGCCTATGTCGCTTTTTACTTCATTTTAAATTTTTATTATTATAATTTTGTTTGGTGAGATTAGTACTTGAGGTAATAATGATCATGGTTTTATAACAGTCCAGTGTTGCTGGATTCTTAATTAAAGAGCACCTCTGTCACACACACAAATTCATACAAATACAGGGAATTTACATTTTTGTGTTCCTTATGCAGGTGTTGTCATGTATTTTAGTGATCAATAATTAACTAATGTGTAAATTACATGAGCTTTGGCCCGTGTTTAGAATAAGGATGTATGGTTTATGGACCTCTACATATGTCACAGCTGCTGTCAATATCCAACCAGGAGGTAAAAGTGTAAACTTGACAACGCTATTGTCCCTTCCCAACAGTTGTGCCCCTGCTGGCCAACTGTGAAAAATATCCCCCATGTCCATAATATATTTTTAGATATGCATAGAATTTAATCCCCACATTTAGTACAAATCTGATAATGTTGATATTTCATGTCTATGGCAGGGGGTGCTATTGTGGTCAGTTCTATTATACCAGGATCACACAGTTGTGATTTGAATTTAAGTTCTCTAGACCAATGCCCGTGGCTGTCAAAGAAATATGACGGGTCACTTTAGGTATCATTATGATGTCTGTTTTATCAGATTTTTCACTGGACCGATCAATCCCATACCCGTTTTGGGGACTTTTCGTCGACATTTTTGCCCTCAAAATCTCAATCGTTTGCAAGTAAAAATAACAATAAAGAAGAAGAAATGGGCAAAGAATAATAGCTGGCTCGGGCCAATGACAGAGAATATGTGAGTGTATGTGTAAGCAGAAGACATAGTGACGCTCTCTTGCCTCTTTGTATGAGCTCATGATCCTCTCCACGGCGTCTGCAGCTGAGTTCAGGAGGTTCCTCGCTGTGGTGAACGCCTGGGTCCTCTCACTCACCAGCTCCTCCTCCTTCATCAAGATGGCCGCCTGCTTCACCTCCTCAGAGTCTGCACATAAATAAAAGGGAACAGATTCACTTTAACTGGGCTAAACATACTTTCAGCCTGGAGGCAGGTGTGTAGTCAACCAGTTATTTAAAATTTTGGTTTTAGTTCAGGTAATTCTGTATAATTTGCCATGAGCAAACCCTGGATATTTAGGCTGAGTTCTTCTCTCAAACAGGAAGCACTCTGCTACTCAAACGTGTAAATGAAACAATACACAACTCCAGGTATGTTTTTGAGGGGGTAACAACATTATAACATGACTTAAAGATAGGTTTATACTGTGAAACATTCCAGACAAAGTAATAACATTTCCATGGAGAACAGCATTTGACAGATCCTCCACTAGAAAAGTTACACGATGCACCTTTAAGTCAAGTTATAGCAGACTGCTGTACTGACCGTTCTCGTGGTAACCGGTGGCAGTGATGATGGGCACAGCGACCATGACTAACCCCGAGGCGCTCCACACGTACTTCATGAGAAACTGCTCCAGCATCACGTACCACAGCCTCTTCAACAGGATCTGATGGATCTGAGAGGACAGGGCCGCGTAACTCCTCTGCAGCTGAGACATCTCCACCTGAAAACAGATCGATAAGTTCAACAACGGTTACGCTCTTTGTTCATGACACAAAGACAAAACAAGGTGAGTAAAGTTGTCAAAGTATGGAAAAACAGACACTAATCGATGCCAAAACTAGTACTGAAACTAGACACTTATTTGAGCAGGTATCAATACTAAAAAATACACTTTCAGGGGACAGAAATTAACCTTTTCTGAATAGCTTTAGAATGATCTTGAGCTGCAGAACAAGTATAAGAGCAAATAGACTAGGAAATGTCCATGGACCACTGAAGACTGTCACAGATATAAGACCACATGAAAATATAAAAGAAAGTACTATGATTTAATGTTGAAAATCACATGCTATTGTCTAAATAAAGAGTGTCTTTATTATCACTGTGGTATCGGAATCGGTACTGAGTATCGGGTCTATTCCTTAAAAACAGGAATACATGGGGGACTCGCGATTGACAGCTCAGAATTGATCTTATCAGTCATTTTCATTTATAAACCAATTGAATTCTATATGTAGCATTTTAATTTTTTTGCATTTAGGTTGAATATAGACTACATGTTATAGCTGAAAATGTAAAAATAAGAACTAAATGACTTAAATATAGCAATAACAATGCTAGATATTACGCTATTTTCTGTTCTATGTTATAATGTTGTTTCCTCATCAACAAACAGACATGGAGTTGTGTTTTGTTTCATTCACACATGTTTAACACACAAACTCTGCATATTAAGTTAGTTCTTCTCTCAAATACAAAACACTTTCAGGTTTTCTGGTCCTATATTACATAAAACTGACTCTTGTGAGCTTTAAGTCATGTCATAATGTAGTTACCTCTTCAAAAACATACCCAGAGTTTTGTTATGATTCATTCACACATGTTTGAGTAATCGTGGCTTATCAGTCTGTCTACATCTCTAAAGCTCAAAATGTTCTGTTCCACCTTGTGATATCATGTGGTAATACAGGAAGTGTTTTTAAACTCCACACACTTTCACTAGAATCATTTGGATAATTTCAGTCCCAGAATTGCCAATCTCTACTGAAGCAGGTAAAAGGTAAAAGGTTAATTGCAAGCCACCACTAAATGACATCACAAGGTGGAACAGGGCATTTTGAGCTTTAGAGGGTATGTTTTTGAAGAGGTAACCGCATTATGACATGACTTAAAGCTCACAAGAATCCATTTTGTATAATATTGGACCTTTAAAGATATGCCTGATATTGACTTGCTAATTCATGCATATATGTGCGTGACAAAGGCATGTCCTCATTTACAAAACAAATAACCGCAGTATTTACATTGAGCATTAGAGGGCGTCTCGGATTACAACACTAGTACAACAACAGAGAGGTGAATGTGGACACACAAAGCTAACACACCTGTGAACCAACCAGTCTGTATTAAATGGGATATTGTATTTCATCTGTCATAACTAATAATAGAGCCAGGCCTGAAACATTCTTAGACTACACCGGACATACTACTACAGCCTCACTCACCAGTTACCAACAATACTGTATTAGTCTGTTAAAGGTTCACTGTGTAACCTTTCAGGAGGCTTGTTTCTTCTTTGGAGATTTTATTTGTTTGTCTGGGATATTCCACAATTAAACATTAAACGTAGCTATTTCTGTGGAGACAAGCTGGTGGTGGCATAGACATACAGGTTGTATCTAAGGAGAGGTGATCCCGCTCAGCAAGAATACATTCAAGTACCGTAATTTTGAGAAATAATAACTAGTTAGACAAGTTTACTGTGGAACATTCTGAAATAGGGAAGGGCATCTGATGTAAGTAGTATCTCTTCAAGTGAAAAAAAAAAAAACACATTTGGGTGGCAGTCTCTTTCGTTTATTGTATCATTATTATCAAAAAGAGAAGGTTCAGTTCTGACCTTGTGTCCTCCGTAAAATGCGATCTCCTCTGAGTTGGCGATGATTCTCGAGTGCATGTACCTCAGGTCTCCTTTCCGCTTGGCCTCCTCCGCCACCAGTTTACCGAAGCGAGGGGAGCAGGACCGCAGAACTTTGGCCGTTAGCGCCACCACCAGGCCGGCGATGATAGAGGGCCATGTGGTGTTTGCTCCTGTAACAAAGAGGGAGATCATGAGACAAAATATTCTATCCAGGAGTGTTACTAATTATGGCTTTATGCTCATAGTTGGTTAAAGGTGGATTGTGTAACTTTTCTAGTGGAGGGTCTGTCATCTGGTTGTTTCTATGGATATGTCATTGCTCTGCCTGAAATGTCCCCATATTGTTTAAGAAAAAAAAAAAAAAAAGATGCGGAATCAGATTATAAACAACGATGATTATTAACGACCTCGTCCATTGTGTGACTGACAACACCAGCGTTAACAAGACGTTTACATAGCTCTTTCATGCTTTCTGTTTGGGTTTCCATCAATGAAATAAAACTGTAAAAAATGGGATATAGCCCAAAATGTGAAAACAGGAACATATCGCTGTGTGATATGTATTCTGATTACATAATGCCAGTACATGTAATCTGTTACTCCCCAACACTGCATACAGTCCCTGACAAAAGTCTTGTCGCTTATCTATTTTGTAGAAACAAAAGCTTATAACCTGACTTTAAATTAATCGATTGGTTTTAGAAATGTCTCATATGAAAGCTAAAACCCTCCCAAATTATGCTCAATATACTAAAATAAATTTGCTTCACGGAAGAAAGATTGATCATTTAATGAACACAGAAAGGTCAGATTTTGGCAAGACAAATGTTTTGTCGCCTACAGAAAATTGAACAAATAATTTACTTCAAATACAAAAATATGTTGCATAATGTCAGTGAATTAAGTAGTGGTGCTGTGAGATCCATATTTAATATCTTGTATGACTTCCATGAGCTTGAAGGACTGCATCCATGCGGTTCCACAATGATTCATACAATTTGTTGATGAAGTCATCAGGAATAGCAAAGAAAGCGTCTTACATGCCTCCCAAAGTTCATCAAGATTCTTTGGTTTTGCCTTCCATGCTTCCTCTTTCATTCTACCCCAGACATACTCAATGATGTTCATGTCTGGTGACTGGGCTGGCCAGTCCTGGAGCACCTTGATCTTCTTCGCCTTGAGAAACTTTGATGTAGAGATAGAAGTATGCGATGGAGCACCATCCTGCTGCAAAATTTGACCCCTTTTATGGTTGGGAATGTAAGAGGTAGTTAATACTTCTTGATATTTTAGGATATTGATATTGCCTTCCACCCTGCAAATGTCTCGCACACCCCCATACTGGATGTAACCCCAGACCATGATTTTTTCACCACCAAACTTAACTGTTTTCTGGGTGAATCTTGGATCCATGCGGGCTCCAGTAGGTCTCCTGCAATATTTGCGGTGGCTGTGATGTAATTCAACCAAGGATTCATCTGAGAAATCCACCTTCTGCCACTTTTCCAGTGTCCATCCTTTTAGCAGGCTGTGGGCCTTGGCAAATGCCACACGTTTTTTTTAATTACCTTTTGTTTAGTGCTGATTTCTGTGCATTGAATCGACCATGGAGGCCATTTCGAGACAGAATTCTACAAACTGTTGTGGTTGACACAGGGACTTGAGGTGACCAGGCCTGGTGGAGTCTGCTGCAGTGGAAAAGGGGCTGGCCTTGGATTTTCTAATCAACAAACGGTCCTCCCGAGCAGTTGTCTCGCGGGGTCTGCCGGACCTCAAAACATCTCCAGTCATTTCAGATCTTTTTCTTATTCTTTGTACTTGACGCTGAGACACATTGAAGGTGTCACCACCTCAGCAGTGGATCTGGTCTTCAGCCTCTTGATAATTAACGCTTTGGTCTCATGGTGGATGTTGTCAGAGGTCAAGTTGCAGTTGATATGAAGGTCTGGTGTGCTGGGGTTCTTTTTATACACACCCACTAATTGATTGATCAGTAACTGATCACAGGTGAGGCTGTAATCTAGGATTGGGTGCATCATATGACAAGGCGACAAAACTTTTGTCTTGCCAAAATCTGACCTTTCTGTGTTCATTAAATTATCAATCTTTCTTCAGTGAAGCAAATTTATTTTAGTATACTGAGCATAATTTGGGAGGGTTTTAGCTTTCATATGAGACATTTCTAAAACCAATCGATTAATTTAAAGTCAGGTTATAAGCTTTTGTTTCTACAAAATGGATAAGCGACAAGACTTTTGTCAGGGACTGTATATGGTAAATAAATGGTCACTTTCTTCACCAATTCACCAACCACTCCATGTTACACAGAACCAAGTGGCAAAACAGGTTAAGTGTCAAGCCCTGGGATACAAAAAACTTAAACTCAAAGTGTAAAAAGTGCCGTCAAAATCTCTACAGTTTTAGCCTTTATTATAACTAGTTTTAGAAAATAAAAAATCCTGAAATCTGAAACCATCTGAATGATCACAAATTTCACTTCCTGGCAGTTTTACCTTTGGACTGAGCGGTGCGCAACAGGGTGTAGCAGGTGACCACCACGTCCAGAATGGGTTTGGTGAGGTTAGAATATAGGTGAGCCACAGACGCAGAGAACATGACTATGTCCTCTGTCAGGGACTGGTCTGGGTTTGACAGTCGCCCGTCCATGTTAGACACACGGTAATACGTCTGGAGAGAAACAAGTGAGAAGGGCTGTCAGTCAGGTCTTTTGGGACAGTTATGATATAGTATTAAAAGGGCATTGTGTTACTTTTCTGGTGGAGGGGCTGTCACCTGCTTGTTCCTATGGGCATGTCACTGCGCTGCCTGAAATGTTCAACAGTATGACATTAAACATCTCTACTTTACATTTATTACAGCTCAAAAATACCTAGAAACAAAGGCATTCTGATCATGACAGATCCGACCTGTAACTTGGTCTGGTTTGGTCTCTATGAAGATAGAAAGGTTTAATGCCATACAGTGAAACATTCCAGACAAAGTAATAACATCTCCATGGAGAAAAGTATTTGACGGGCCCTCCACCAGGAAAGTTATACAATGCAACTTTAAGAGGGTACACAATGGATAATGTTAAAAATCAGTTTAATATTTCATTTACAGTGCATATGACAGGTTTTCTTTTTTTTATTACCTAGTTTAGTGGGATTGTATCTGTGGGAAATACTTAACATAATTTTATCGTCTGAGTGTTACACAGATTTTTATTCCTTCAGTCTCAGAAAACAGGTATTATTGAAATCCACAGGCATAATTGTAGTGATTAGACCATCAGACCACAAGATTAAATAAAATCGAGAGCTTGTGGAGGCAAGACATTGGCTAGTTGCTATGTTTTCTACCTGGTTGCTATATTTTGTACCTGGTTAGTGAAGTAGAGCTGGTAGGAGTGGTTCACCAATCGGCTTCTGAAGCTCAGGCTCAGCTGACCTTCCAGGAAGCGGATGGCGCTGTTGATGAAAGTAGCGGGAACAGCAACGAGCAGCCATTTGGCCAACTGTAACATGAAAGCCTGTGGATCCTTCTGGACTATACACTTCACAATCGCTCCTGAAGAACACAAAATACTCAATTCACTATTTTTGTTGGAAGCAATATTTCACTAACCTGGTTCACACCTGACTGATATTGTGTCATTCTGAAGTGAGTTTTACACATTATCAATCTATATTTATACTAAAATAGGCTGAAGTACACCTGTTAGCATCACTATGTTTGTTTTGGTTCGTTTGGGTGCTTTGCCGCAGTGCTGCTCTATGATTGGCTGCCCAACACCAGTCGGGTCTATCACACCAGCGTGCATCAAGATGGATTCTGGTGAATTTGTAATCCATCTTGCAGGGTTAATATTTCACTCACACAAAAGATCACTATTATTATCAACAAAATTATTATGCGGTGTTCCTGATTTGCCACAATCTGTCAAAAGTAACTGAAAAACAACAAGTATCCTTTAGTACAAATTTTCAACACATTCTAGACTAGATTCCTCAAAACTGTAATTATAAGATAAACACACAACATCTCCCAAACCAGCTGAGGCAATATACAGTCTTCCAACTAAAACAATTTGATGTTGCACCCAGTGGAGAAGAGTTTTAGTGCGTACCGTCAAGCGCAGCAACGTAGATGGAGAGGAAGGTTCTGGACATGAGGGTAAGAGAGTGCAGTATCAGCAGTCCAATCTCAGGACACAGGAGACCAGGAAACAGCAGCTTCAGGAGACGGGACAGACGCAGGAAGAACTCACGGTTCACAGCAGGAGATCTGAAACACAGCAAATACATGAATAGGCATGTGAATAAGTATGTACCTAGTTCCTCACTGGAGCAATTTAAATGTAAATGTAAACAAGCAGAAATGGGGTGACAGTAGCTCAGTTGTTTGAGTGTTTGTCGACTGATCTGAAGGTTAGCTGTAGAGCTGCAACAATTCATTGACTCGGAAAATATGTCGATGGCTGTAGAGTGCGTCGATAGATCACCTTTAGAGCCGAGCGGACTGTACGGGCACAACGCAGACTGTATATGGGCGCAATATAGACAGTATACGGGCGCAGCATGGACTGTGCAATACACGTTGGCCACAGTACAGAACACGCTGTCAGCTGATTTTTAAACATCTATTGGTCTGACCGTGTGGGGCTGACCATAGCTGTACATCTGCTTTAGTGCCTGTAAATTATAGCCTGAAGCAGCATTTTATGTCCTTGTCTTGAATCCTAGAAGTAAACTGTCTTGCATGTCACAGTAACATGATCGGCAATGTTCCAATAAGATAAAATTCACTTTTTTATTTGTCTAACTAATAAAAACTAGTTTTAGTTTGACGAATAAAAACAACGGTCTTTATGGAAAATCTGGAACAAATTGCTCTATAAAGTCATAAAAAGTTACAATTTAATTAACAAATTAATCGAAAAATTTGTCAATAGATTAGCTGATTAATTGAAAAATTAGGCGTTAAAAAATGTATATGAAGATAATCATTAGTTGCAGCCCGAGTTAGAAGTTGTACCACTGGGTGTAATTATGCTGCTTGCAAGACATAGCATAGAGAACAGTTAGTAAGTAGTTAGTAAGTTCTGACTTGTATTTAGACAAAAAAACATATACATTTTCTTTTCTGCTTGCTCCTTTTGGGTATTTGGGTATCTCTGTAGATATGATTGACTATGTTCTGTAAATTATGTAAAAGAGGAAAAAACCTGTATTGCCCAAATGAAATAAATAAATTATATTTAATCAAAATTCCACACATGGGATACAGATCACTAAATCATTAATACAGAAATTACCATGAATTAATTACTACAGTCATTACAATGAATAGGAATAAAACATAACTGTGTATAATTAATGTCATGCATTTGTAATGCGCTTGTTGAAACTCATACAGTTCCTGTTCACTGACTCCACACAGTGGTGCTAAGATCCTATTAATATAAAATAACAAGTCTATTTGTCAGGGTGGCAAGCTACTATTGCTGCCACATCTGCCCTGGGGTTTACTGACATTAGTGGTGCTGCCAATCTGTGCCATCAACCCCTCAGATCTATACCCACTCATCGCATTCATAGGTGGGTGCAAAGTGTCTTGCCAAAGGACACAGCGAAAGAACTTGGTTAGAATGGGAGTCGATCCTCTGGCCTTCACGTTGTTGGACAAGTGCTTTAACTACAGTCAAGGTGGCCCCTTAAGTGCAGGTGAACACCAAATGTTTTGATTTGAGTAAAGTTAATCATATTTAAATTGTTACAATAGTTATGATCATTGCTGATCTAAAATCTGCTTCAAAAACTGCAGAGATAAAATATGGGAAACCATTTGCAGATCTTGAATGGTATGTTTTTGAATGGGCACAAGAAGCCAGTAGTCACTCACCTGCTCTTCTTCTTGACTTTGCTGTGATTGGTCAGATCTGAGCTGGAGGAGCTGCTGACCACACCCACCTGGGGAGTAGTCCCACCCTTCTGTTTACATCCTGCAACTGCCTGGAGGACAAAATACCTTTAATATGATTCTCTGTAGTATTAGGGATATTCAGTGCATCAGTTTCAAACAAGAGTTCCTAGCTGGTCTCACTGAACAACTGAATCCCTCGAACTTTTATAATGATTCTAGTACATCTTAAATAATACCTGCAGCCTCCTCCATACAGCAGGAGACAGTTTTTTCACTGCGTACGCGGTCAACAGCACAGCCGTGAGCTTCTTGAGCTTGGAGCTGGCTCTGAGCTGTGACGGCAGCTTCTGATAGGCCCGCTGCATGATTACACGGGCGCCGCTTCAACCAATCAGAAGCCGGGAAACAGGTCAGGGCAAAGGTCACAACATCATGGACAAGAGTATCTCCATCTCACACCTTTTACATCCTGGAGAAATAAAATAAAAGGAAAAGTTTTATGTGGTTCCCTCTGTGGAAGTTACTGTCACAGTTTCTACCACTGAAAAATGTACTACTACTATTATCTCTGCTTTTACTGAAACAGCTGCTGGTTTAAGCACTGAGGAGGTAAAAAAGCTAAGTCAATTCTCTGATTATTTAACAGTACTCATTGGTAAAATACTACAAGTATTCCAATGTCCAAAACATGTAGAGGGTAAGCACTTTGTGTATTTGTGGACAGGGAGAATGTCTGTACTTTCCTCTCAACTGAATGTAAGATAAGTTAGATTTTTCGACTTGTTCCTCTGTTGTGACACTTCGACCGATCAGATTCAAGTACTCATCATGATGTTCCACATTTTCCAAACGCTTTCAGCGATAGCCATCCCAGACTGAGAATGTGTAGAATTCATTCTCAATTCAGATCGACACATCATCAATTTTTGTGTGAGCCAAGTTAAATTGATCTCTTATTATGAAATAATCCTACCTCAACTGAACCTGACCCTTTGAGCTTTGGGGGTTATCAAAGTTTATCTGATACTTTTCTGCACTGACTGATAAATGTCATAAATGCAACATTATTAAAGATCATTTAAAATTCACATGCATCACAGTAATTACAGGATACAGAGAAAAGTAAGTACTACACTCCATATAAATGTTAATTATTTATAAACATATATAAACATAATTATAGGTGTGAAATATAAACAGGTTTAAAAAACAAACAACATCACTCACACAAAACTGTGTACACAAGTATGAACAAAAACTACAACTACAACTACTACTACTACTACAACTATTGCAACTATAACGTTATTACCAATGCAGGCTCACTACGTCCTTACAGTGTCTGAGCTGCATTTGGTTTTGTCTGACCACCAATAATTAACACTTTATATAAATTTACTTGAATAAGAAAAAAAGTGTGTAGTTCTTCGTGTGTCATGTTAAAACCTCAATTACAAACTCACAGTAATATATTAAAATCCTCCAAAGGATCCAGGTATGAATATGCAGTGGTCACAAGTCTAAGGACTATCCTGAGAGTATTACAGGGGGCTGTGAGCAAACAATGTAGTAATTCACACGGTTAAGAAAGTCCTAAGAGTCCTGAGTTATTTCTCAACAGAGACTTAGTGGAAACGCTCAATGCTGCAGCGTAACTGTGTCAAAGTAGGAGGGTCAGAAAACACAAGCAATGAAAGAAAGTTAAAGCAACGTATAACTCTATACAGTAAAATATAAGATTTGATAACGCGTAGTAACTCTGTTATGTTTGCTAAACTAACCCAGCCCCACAGTGTAACCCCCCGTTAGCTCGTGACTGTACTTTAATGTACAGCGGCTAGCGGCGGGGATTTGACATTTTTACACTTTTTAAGTCACACAAACTTAATTGTGTTAAACAACCGAACAACAACACGTGCCTTGTTACCGATAACCTAGCAGTGAGTTAGTGTTGAGAGCAAGACCTTTTTTAAGGTCAAAAAAGCAGCTAACCTGCATGACAATGCTAACCGCTAACATAACAGGAACTTTGTTGCTTCTGATCTGCACATGACAGAGACTAAAGTTTAGACATTTGGCGTCACGAACTAAAATCTAAACTTAAATAAGGACAGAATGAAGATCTGTGACTTTGAGTTATGCATAAGAAGAATCGTTCTAATTTTAAAGCGTTAAAAGTGTTTTTAAAGAAGAAAATGGGAGAGAGTTGAGCATCTGTTTACCTGAGTAGGACGCGAGCCGAATGCTGCCGATCACATCCTCCTCAGTCTCCTCGTTTCCTTCACTAGCCCCTTTCCTGAACTAATACACTTATATCATTGTATTAAGATATTATGATAAGTAAATCGCATGTGGAAAGTAAATTTATAAACATAACATAGGATATATCCTATGTTATTATATAGATTATAGTCTACTTGCTATAATCAGCTAAATGTAACAGAGCGTTAAGGAAAAGTCTAATCTGTATATATAAAGGTACAACAAAGCCTACAACAAACAAAAGGGGTTTCAATGTGTATAGACCTTATATAAAAGCATTGCCCTACATAGACATAAAGGCTTATAATTAAAGCTTTACATCGCCCTCTAGCGCTTAAAGATGCCATCACATGTGATCTAATACTGCGTAATACTGTGTAATAAACCAGTCACCACAGGCTATAACTCAAGTTTAGTTCTCAAACAGTGGGTCAAGTAAGGCTCTTTAAGACTACAGGCTAGAGACACCTTTATAGTTTTGTTTTATTCTTACAGTCATTTTAAATTGTTAATGCTGCTGTTTTAACTTGCTTTTTGTAAGGTGTCCTTGGATGTCTTGAAAGGCACCATGAAATAAAATGAATGTGTTTGTGCCTACATGTAAATCATATCACCTACATTTATATAGATGTTTTTACCTACTATACTACAACCATCAAACCTTTAAATATCATTCATATGAAGCTGACAGGTGAGTTTTCCTTCAATTATGACTTGTAAGGTCTAAGAAAATACAGGAAGAATGTATCAGTGTGGTGTAAATACTGACCATCTTTATTTAAAACACTGTGTACACCAGTCTGCTCACTTTTGTATTTACAAAACCAAACCAGAAATCCAAAATCCACAGAGTGAAAAAGTACAAACAGCTCAACAGTCCAAAAAGCTAAAAAAGTTTATGTACAAGAGTCAAAATTTTACAGTGGCCCAGAATGTACCACAGCAGCAATATATATTTACGGTAACATTTTTGTACAAATGTTTGACTGATTCTGACATGTGTTATGCTTTGGTCGGAGTGAGAGGAACTCTGAGGTCTGCTCCGCTGAAGCTACATGTTAATTAAAACCAGTGAGAGAAGACAAGTCTAAAATAATAATGTGTATTGTCGTCTAGTTGGCTGATTCTAATTTCTTGGTCGATTATCTCAGTGTAGTGACGTGTATCTGATGCATTTTAGAGGCGGCATACTGACAGCCACATCTTCATCTGCCCGCAGCGATAATTATTTATTTTATATCATATAATATACGTTTTCACAAAGTAGTTTTCTTATGTATTTGGTAGCTTCAGAGGAGCAGATTAACTGTTGATATTTGTGCAATATGGATGCCTGGTTTGTTTGATAAACCTGATGTTACCTGATACGGACAGAACAGAAACAGTCACCAAATAATTCATAACTCAAAACAATAACAAAAACTCCCTATTTTACATACATACAGTTATTTTTTACAATGGCCACACCAGTCTGTATCTGGCTCCTGCTTTGTCTACTGCTCGTTATAAAATCCAGTAAAAATGATCATCACTTATCGATTGGCTGATTGTCGCTGCAGCAGAATAATCCTGGTTTTACTATTGCTCTCAGACCAGCATACTGTTCATAAAATCATACAAGCTAACCTCACATTAGCATTTAGCAAATAACAGATTTCCTTTTGACACTTGAACTTCAGAGGCTGGTTAAGGTCCTGGGGCGACTGATTCACTTATGATGGTCCCATTGATCCCATGTGCACGTCCAGACCCAGTCCCGGTTTCAGTCCCAGTACAGGCTTACGCTTTGCTTATTTTCACTTCAAATCTGGTTCATTTGTGGTGTGAAAGGAGTTATAATTGGCTTGTTGGAAGATTAGGTATTCAATCAGTAGGGATGGGCATGATTAGTCAATTAATCGGTAATTGATCATTAAGAATTTTGTCGATTACGTTCATTTTTAATTAACAAACCAAATGTAGGTAGCTGTGCATAGCGGTCCTTTATTCCATTGAGTCGTGTCCTTTAGTCCGACAGAAGTTGACCCGCATCAGCGCACAAGAGCTGTTTTTTTATTCACTTAGTTTATGCAAATTAGCCATGTGGTTTTAAGTTTGTTTTTGTGAGACTTGCGCATTAAACATGTAATGTCAAATGAGCTGATGTGGCTCTAGAGTCGTGATGGTTTATATGTTGTAAATTTGAGTTAATTTATGCAGATTAGTAGTGCAGATAGTAATAATAAAGATGATAATTTTAATATAAAAACGTTATAGATTATTCGAAAATCGATCGTTACTTCTCCTGACGATCAATTAAGAAAATGCCCATACCTATCACTCAGTAACTCCATCCATACTGTACAACCAACTGGAGACTCATGATTGATTAAATTCTGCTGGAAAACTGCAGACCTGGCAACACAGGGTTCAGTGGAATATATGGCTACGTCACATTTCATGGGCTCTTCTTGATTATCTAATATCAGATTGTTCCAGCATAAAGTGACTTATATATTTTTAAAACCAGCCTCTAAAGTCTTTAGTTCTTAAGACACCTTACATTTTAGTGCATTTAAGTTCAGCATCACATGATAGTGTTCAATACAAATGCAAACACATTAAAGCTAATTTATAACAGCCACATCCAAAAACATGACTTTAAAACATTTTTGATTCAAAAATTTCTTTAAAACAAAAAAAAAAGTTTATCCAAATTTCATACAAAACACGACGTGGGCGGAGCTTAGGGTGCACAGCGTAACTTTTCAGATTGGGGGACCGCTACCATGGAGATGCTATTGCTTTGTTTGTAATGTTCCACAATATGATATTAAACTTATTTAAGATGCATTTATGGAATTATGGGTGTTTTTATTACTCAAAAATACTTTTAAAAGCATGCATTGTTATTGTGGGTGAGGTCAGCGATTCACAGACAAATTGGCCTTGTTGTGTCTCTTGCTTGTTTTTACGGATGTTGAAAAGTTTAATGTCATACTTTGAAAAACTGGATGTAAAGCAATAACATCCCCAAAGAGACCAGTAATCGGTGGGCCATCTACACACGAAAAGTTACACATTGCACTTTTAGGATTCTGTGCAGCAGCGTTGAGTCCAAAGAGAAAAATGTTTGAAATCATCCTCACACTTTCCGTGGAGTGAGGGCACACCTGAGGAGCGAGAGTCACCTGACCATTTGGAGAGTGCTGGTTGGCTACTGAGCTGGTGTCGTCAGCTGGTGATGTCGTCGCAGATATAAATACTTCTGAAATACTTTTGATTTCACCCTGATTGTCCGAGCACAGTCCAGTTCAGGAAAATTACAATATAAATAGCTTGTTTCCTCATAATTGACTTTTGATAAGATGTCTTTGATTTAGTCACAGTTAAAGCTCCCAGGAAACCAGCCCGGGATGTGGTAAGTTCATACATTTAAATGTGATAGTGATTTGACACTTTAATGTGAGACTGTCTCATAATTATTTAGTACAGACTTGCTGTGCTCTGATTGGTGGCTTCAGACCAGAGTTCCTGGAGTGTCGGCTGGTCACATGACACCTGCCTGATGGGCACTTCCTGTTTGTGAATAGGGAACGCATCATTGTAGAGCGGAGCATCCACCGACCTGTAACATAATAAAAATAAATGATACAAAATACACACAAACATCCTCCTTATGTATTTAATCTTTAAATTGTTCAATCTATCATACAATGTTTTGTTGTCTACATTTAATTTGTTTGTTTTTTCCAATTTACTACTCTTCTTATGAGACCTTTGAGAACCTTTGAGACTTTAAAAACACAGGGTCATGACACTTATACTTACATAAGTGTGTGCTTTTTTTTTACCCAGGGACAGTAGGGCGGGAGATGCAAAAATTGTTCAGTAGAGGTGGGACATTTATTGCGTATTGAGTATATCGTTTATAACTTTTATTTCTATTACTACTAATACAACTATTGTACGATTGATTGAATTTTTTCTAATCACTGATGTTATTATTTATCTATTGTTTTATTAGTTCCTTTTGTCCGGAACATAATTCTGTTGACTTTAAAAGAGTTAAGTGTTTTACATTGCTATGTGCAACACTTTGGAAACTGCGTTGTTTATAAAATGTGCTTTACAAATAAACTTGAATTGGATTGTATAACTAAAACAACAAAAATTACAAGTTATATTTTTGCACTTGTTAATTGCATGGTCCAGTAAGTTTTTGTGTGATTTATGAACCTCAACACTGTCCCCGTAAGACATTTTATATTTAAAATACTGTCTGAATGTATCAACAGATAATCCTAGAACATCTCCACATTTTTTCAATATTGCCCACCTCTATGGCTAAGCACCTACAGGTTTTACTTTCTTACCTGCCGTGTAGCGGGAGCCCATGAAAAGTAGCTGAATGAGGCAGTCCTGTCTTCTTAATTGTCCCATTGTGATTAATGTCCTTAAAGTTGGACAGAGGGGCATTGTGGGAGTTTGAGTCCAGGTAGTTTGAATGATCCTGATAGTTAGAATGGTGCAGTGTTGCATTGTGGGAGTTGGAGTCCTGGTAGTTAGAATGGTCTTGGTAGTTTGAGTGGTGGATGACGCCGTGTGTGGTCCGTCTCCTCCCTTTGATGCCATTAGTCTTTGGGGCTGCGTTCCCATTGGTCGGATTTGGGTGGGAGGAACCTAAAGTGTTCCTCAGATACCAGTCCCGCAGACCTGTCAATCAAACACACACCAAAAAAAACTTAAGATTACATTACACAGTTTGAAGTTTAGTTTTTTTTTTAAATTATTATTTTCCAGATTTTTAGGGGCTAAAAATGTATCTACCATGGCTTTAGGTGAAATCCTTCTCTCAAGTACACCATAAAAGAGTGTAAGAACCCTAATGAAAAGTGAGCCGTTTGATTAATAATAAATGAGACAAGAAAAGTGAGCGTGTTCTGAAGTTGTCACAGCAGGTGGCGCTGCATCGCACTCCACTGCAGAGGAACCTGCTGCAGTGACCCACTTTCAGTTCAGCATCAAACATTCATCAGATTATCTTTGAATCTGAATCTGAGAGAAACTTTAGATTCAACAGTGTGTCTAGGAACACAAGGGCACAGACAGAGACTCCATATAGTTAGACCGGCTTTGTTTAAGGCTGTCATTTATAAAAACAATGAGAAGTGAGCTTTTATGACTTATTAGCCCAGTCTCCACGGAGTTTGCTTTGCCTGGAATGTTCCACAGTATAGTATTGAACATATCTATCGCCACAGAGACAAGAAAGCAATAGACACCACTAGGCCAAGTAATAGATAACATCTGTAAAGAGGCAGCCCCACTCACAGCAAGAATGCATGTTTTTTTCAAGGTATTTTTTAGCAATAACAATACACCAACAAAGCAGGGCTGCAACTAACTATTTTAGTAGTAGATTTTTTTGATTAGTTGACAAGTGACGATTATACTAAGTAATAGGCCCTATTCATGTTAGGTCCCAAACCAGGAAGACGTTTGGAAAGATGCGATTACAACTTCCGGTGTAGTTCCCGACACTGGGCTCACCGACCGACAGTGATAAAACTGCATATGTACCATATTTTCAGCACTATAGGGCGCTCTGGATTATAAGGCACACTGTCATTGAATGGTCTATTTTCAAACTTTTTTCACAAATAAACCGCACCAGACTTTAAACGAAACACAGCAGTTCGATGGGTCAGTTGGACATTGGTGCGTTCATGGTGACTCTGGGCTTTGTTTAGTTGTGGCGTGTAGGGAGGGTGCTGTCTGGGACCGCTGGATTGTTGGCGTGTTCGCAGTGACTCAGTTGTTCAGTTGTGTCTAGAAGTGGCACATTGCACTCGCTTTTTCGCTTCGTTCCTCCGTTCCATTCCTCGTTCGTGTGGAGTGATGAGTGTGGTCTGCGGGTGTTTTTCGCTGTGCAGTCACTGTCTGCTGTGTGTGTGTTTGTGTGCGCTGCGGGTGGTGCGGGTTTGTAGTTTATTGAAGTCGTGCTGGGACACCCAAGTGGATTCGTGTATAGGATTGCGGGGCGCGCAGTTGTTTTTTGATGGGGTTGGAGGCTTATGAGCGCGCCCTATGGTACGGAAAATATGGTATGTGCTGTTTGGAATAATCTTGAATTTGGCGCCTCATCTCTTCTAAACGCATGTACCCAGTGCACTCAGAGTTGTGTGTCAGTGGGGAAATTATAAAAACTGAGGTATGGTTGTACTTGTTGATTAGCTGAACATAACAGAATGCTACAGTGACATGTAGATGAAGAAAACTGGGCCATTTTCTAATTTTTTAGTAAAATTTTCAGACTTACTACTGCAAACAGAGCCCGCCGGAAGTTGTAATTACATCTTTCCAAACATTTTCCTAGTTTGTGATGTGAGCGTGAATAGAGCTGTTTCAATTATACTAAATAGTTGTATGTTTTTGTGTTTTTTATTTAGAGTTTAGTTTTTCTTTGCAGACAAGAGACACATGAATGACAAATGAATGACAATAACAAAAACAAACACGGGTAGGTGGGTGTTCTTTTCAGTTTTTGTGATAACACTGACAGCTCCTGTTACCAAGTAGGTGTAATGGAATACTGTGGATCATTCTCTTTGTGCGTCTGTGTCCTGGTCAGGAGAACCCAGCTGAAGGGCTAGCCATACATACACGTACATGTACACGTACACATACACATACACACACAGATGCTGAGTGTGAAACAAATAATGCGTTTACCTTCCAGAGCCAGTGCCTTATGCAGATTCCTTGTTGCCTCTTCATTATGCTGGTCCTGGGTTAGAGCAGCCTGGGTGGGCCGGGGGGGCAGCAGGTGTGGGTGAGGGTCTGGCTGCAGAGGTGCATGCTGGGAGTCAAAGTTCTCTGCTCCCGGAGGCTGCACAGGGAGGAAGGGCCCGCATGATTTAGTCCGGGTGACTTTAATTCGCTGACGATCACTGTGCATGCCGCGGTAAGTGGGCGGAGCAAGGTTTGGCTGTTGGTTTGGATACAGAGCTGTGATTGGCTGACGGCTTCCATGTGACTGCTGCCTCTGGAGCATCTGCTGTTGCTTGGTCCAGACGTAGTCCAGGAGCAGGTCGCTGTAGGGAGCTCTGCCCCTTTGGCCTGGGTCTGGTCTGGGTCCTGGCTCTTGTCTGTGCCCTGGATCTGGTCTGGTCCCTGGGTCTGGTCTATGTCCTGGTTCAGTCCTGGTGGTTGGTTCTGATCCGTTGGTGGTCCTGTGAATCCGAGTATCAGTCTCTGAACTCCTTGCGGCTCCTCCCTTTGAAGAGGACAAACCTGTAATGAAAAATATATTTACATATTGATAGTTGAGAATGATTTTACAGCAACTTTTTTGAAGATGTTGAAGCTGTTAAACTTTACATAAAAACAAATCCAATTAAATCAATTGCAATTAAATCTACATACAGATTTAATTGCAAAAGTGAGTGAAAAACATGCATTCTTTCTGGGAGCAGGCCCACCTGTCTACAGATATGACATATAACATATAACATAACAAGTTATAACAAGTTTTGTATTTACATTTCTGAACATCCATGTAAGACCTTAACCTTGAGATAGTATCTGATTGTTGTGGAAGAAATTTTTCAAAAATAGCCTGATCCAATCTACACTCATTTAGTATGTCACCTTTAGGGTGCACTCACACTAGGACTTTAGGACTGTGCCCAAGCGCGGATAAACCCTAAAACGCGTGGTACGTTTGTCCAGTGTGAGCGCAATCGTACCATGCTCAGGCACAGCACGAAAGGGACTTTGGTCCGATTGGAGGAGGTGGGCCAAAGCACGGCACGACTGCTCATGTAAGCGCACACGCACGACTTTACTAGACGAGCCCTGTCAGGTGCACTGATGTTACTCATAGGAGGAAAACGGTGAATAAAATCTGCTCCAAAACACACGGCAAACCCGCACTTATCTTCAATAAAGGGAGTGACAGAAGTTTAGCTGCCTCTCGTCTCCGGCTGTTATCACTGCTCTGCGCTGCTTTTACATACATAAACTCACAGAGGAGCATGTATCATAAGAGGATGCACATTTGCCTCAATATTTAATAGATATTTCTGCCGCTGGACTTTTTTTCTCCACTAAAAGCGTTAGCACATGTAAATAAATGGTGCCGTGTGACGATGTCATCGGGGCATGGCCTGGTTCGGATGTGCAAGTGTGAGTGCGGGCTTTAGAACCCTATGCAACTGTGCTTGACCACGGCACGATTCTAAAGTCCTAATGTGAGTGCACCCTTAAACATAGATACATCTGCTCACCATTGACCCAGTGCCCATCGGCCTCTGTGGAAGCGCCTCTGTCCAACAGTCCGTCTGAGCTGTTGCTGCGCCGGGATGAGTTGGCGCCCCCTACTGGCCCGTTAGCCACAGATCTATTAGCGCCATTAGCTCGGCCTCCATTACTCGCCAGAGCTACCCCCAGTTCTGCCCAGCTGCTCCGACTCTGTCTGCCCAGAGGAGGTGGAGCCGTCCAGGGATCGAGGCGGCGGAGGAGGGGGGTGTGGAGGAGAGTGTTTCTGGGGCACATCCTGAGAGTCTGATCTGGAAAAACCATATAGGCCAAGTTATTATTATAAGTCTTTAATTTAGAAAAACATGTAAGTAATGCTAATAGATTAAACAAATAGATAAACAAATACACTGAAGTTTAGTTGAGTCTTTATTTGAAGTCAACTCCCTCGGGTATTTACAACATCATAAATTTCATCTTATAAAACACATATTAACCTACCATTTTTACATGTCACTATCACATCAGTCCATAGCTTACAAAAAATACAATATACCAGGGAAGTTATCATGATCTGAAGACAGCTCTAATATGAATATTGCATCCATTCTCACCTGCTGTGGACTGAGTTGTTCCTGGTTTTATTTGGGGCAAAAACTTCAACTGGAGAAGAACCAGCAGTGACCATCGGAGGGCGACAATGGGTCACACTCTCATCTGAGGAAAAATATATATAAGGTTACACAGAGAAGTTTACATTATTAACAAACAGTGGACAGACATACTTTTATATAAGAAATTACTTTTTATTTAATGACTTAAAGGTGCAACTTTTTGGTTTGGGATTTGTCACCTGCTTGTTTCTACGGTTATGTGTACTGCCTGGAATGTTCCACAGTATGAAATTAAACAGCTCCATCTTACATTTATTCAGTTACAGGTGGTTTTATAGCTCAAAAATACCTAGAAAAACAGGCATTCGAACTGTGAGCAAAGTTGCCTCTCCACAGATCTGACCTGTAACTTGGTCTGGTTTGACCTCAATGAAGATAGAAAGATTTACTACGATACTGTGAAACATTCCAGACAACGCAAAAGCACCTCCATGGCAAAAAATATTTGACGAACCCTCCATCAGAAATGTTACACAATGCACCTAAGTTTTAATTTACTTTTGTTTTTAGTTCTTTGTTGATTATTTTTAGCAAAGGTCAATAGCACAGTTTGCACAGAGAAGGGGGCTGAATCAGGGCTGCTCTAAAACCTCCAGATGCACCTGATGTTATCCAAAATAACGATCTGAAATAAATTCTTAGCAGAGACTAAAATAAGATTTCTGGGACAACTATAAAAATCTGGGCCTGCAGGTGAACTAGGGCAGCGGTAAATCAGGACATTTGCATAGAAGAGACAGGGAATTATCATACATGGGACAAAGAAGAGTCTAGACTGTGCCTGATACTTACAAAGCAAAGAAAAATTGTCCACAGGCTTTACTAAGAGATGAAAGCGAAGACCTACCTTTAATATTACATGTTTGTTTCAGAAACATAATCAGAATATATTTGTCATTTCAGTCTAAAGTACAATGAAACACCGTACTCAGGTCCAGGTTATTAGCAGCATAAAAACACAATAAATGTATAATATTGTTTGTTTAGTGCAGTTTTAAAACATCCCCCACCCGTCCCAATTTTCCAAAGTGCTACTAAGTTAGAGCTCGTTTATAAAGGCATTACTGTAATCAGCTGAAAACCCTTTATTTTCACACAGGCACATGTTCATAGCACTAGGGCCCCTCCAGGTGTAATCTGGGGCTTGTGCAAACTGTCTGCTGTGGCGTAATATTTGTAAAGGGCTAAATGTGTCTGCACTATTGCCGTGCTGTGGTTATGAACACTCGATAAAGGTTATTTAGGTCATAACATGTCTTACCATTGTCATGTCCTGTAGAGTCAGACGTGGAGCTGCTCTCTGACCTCACAGACTCATCTGGAAACAAATCAATGAAGCTTTTACAATAGAAGCTTTTAATGTAACCTAGGAAACATTTTATCCTTTGTATTTGATCAAATGGTGTTGACCGTGATCTGTGCTCACACTCTGGTCCTGGTCAGGAGAACCTCGCAGAAGCAGTATTTGTATATTACCTGTGTGGCAGCCTCGGTGGACAGTCCTCTTGGATCTCTGGCTCTGGAGATGTGGGATGTGTTCAGGTTCACTGTGTTTTCGAACTGAACTAAACAAAGTCTTCTTTTTCTTCTCTTCCAGCTGCACACACAATCACATGATTTTGTTAATACGTTTACTAGGGATGTAACTATAAATGAAATATTGTGATAGTGTATTGTCAAAAGTCTCACAATAATATCGTGGGCTGTCACAATAAATTGAATTACAAGTTCCTTTGCTTAAATGCATGGTTTTATAGTAGCAACAGCTTATAGACATTGGGAACTACATATCCCATGATTCATTTCAGTGCAGACAACATGAAGAAATATGTTTTTTACTTGAATTCTTGGGATGATGGAAATAATTCACACCAATATTTTATCAAGGTATTTTAAAAGCTAAAAAGTTTCCTATCTACAATTATATCAGCCTCTACAAAATATTGCAATAAATATCGTACTGTGAGATGCAAATCGTGATAATATTGTACCAAGAGATTTGGATATAATTACATCCCTAATGTTTACAAAAGGTTAGTTTCCCTTATTACTATTATAATTAATGTCAAATATGAGCACAGTTACAGAATAATCCATGTCAAAGTCCTGCTCCTCACCTCAGCCCTGTTCTTCCTGTTGAGTCTAGAGCCTCCTCTTCGTCGGACTGAAGGAAGTTTCTCCCCCTCCTCCAACGGGAAGTCTTCAGGAATTAAACCAGTGAGCTCCTGGCCAATCAAAGACAAGATCATTAAATGGGCCAATCACAGATCAGACATTAGAGAGAGACATTTAAGATGTTTATTCCATATACCAGATCTAAACTAATTAATCACTTTGGAATTAATACTGAAAATGAATCCAATCCTTCACTTACTGCTTCCTGGAGACAGACACGCCTGAGCTCAGCCAATCGTGTGCTGAGCATCGTCTGTAAGCCCCGCCTCCTCTCTTGCAGCTCAACCAATCGCTGAGCATTTTTCTGCTTCCTGTCGGGGCCTGTGTCTGTTACATAAAGATTCATAATATACAGTATGAGATTTTATAAAGTTACAATAGTCTCGATGAAGTTCTGGTGTGACCTCTGACCTGTCGCTGTGATGAGCTGACCTCTGACCTCCATGGTGGGTGTGACCCATGTGACCCCTCCCCCTCCTTCTTCACTGCTGGAGTCAAGCTCTGCCCCGCCCCAAACACTCTCTCTCACCTGAGCAAGAAACAGAAACACAGATATAAACATGGATGTAGTTTTATTTTACTGTGCTGCATTTCCAACATTTAAACTATAGACTGTATAAATAAGCGGACTAAGTGAGTGTGAGTCACCCACAGCGTTTGGCTCCAGTCAGACGAAGCTCACGAGGATAGCGGTTATGGGGTGAATTTGGAGTCAAGTTCCATATTTTGAATAGGAATTTATTTACAGACAAAATAGCAAAATAAAAACACCAGGATCACGTAGAGCGGGTTAATACTGACATTTTAAGACCAAAATGATGAGGGTCACAACAACAGTTACATAGAGAGGTGTGAGAGTTTTAACAATGTAAAGTCAATTGGAGCCAGAGTTGATGGAGTTGGAAGTGTCCCCATGCTCACTTCCTATTTGAAACGGAGCACCTAGTGGGTTAACTATGTCCATTTCTATATACAGTCTATGATTTAAATGCAAAATAAGTAGGACAGATGTTAACAGGCAGCTGACCAGCTAAACAGCCAAAGTGGTCTCAAAATTATCTTTACTGTATTTTCCGGACTATAAGTCGCTCTACAGTATAAAAAACAAAACAAAAAATTGCATAATGAACAAGAACAAAACGTATATATGGACTGGACTATAAGTTGCATTTTTTGGGGGGAAATTTATTTGATAAAATCAGAGATCAAGAACAGACATTTCATCTTCGAAGGCAGGTTAGAGTAATAACAATAGAAGAGAGAACAACAGACTGTTAACGTCACAAACAACAGAACAGAACAAGTTAACGAAACTCTAGAAATCACTAAATTCTTCATCCTCTGTGTCACTTTTGAGCAACTTCACCAACTGTAGCTAAATCTATCCTTTAGCCTGTGATTAGCTTTTTTGTTTTCACCATTGCATTTAGGGTATCCTCTGCTTTTCTCCAGTCCCTCACAAGTTTATCGCTCACTCCAAACTTTCTTTCTGCAGCTCAATTACAGTTTTTGGCTGCATATCTCACTATTTGCAGCAGGACAGCTGCTCTTTCTTTAGGAGACATGCGCAGTAGAGAGAAGTGAGAGTGGTACAGGAGTAATAGGAGTAATAGCGTGATAAGACTAGCAGATGAAAATATATATAATAACATGTGAAATTATATATTTTAATATATAAGTTGCACCTGAGTATAAGTCACAGGACCACCCAAACTATGAAAAAAGTGTGGCTTATAGTCCAAAAAATAGTGTTTTTTTTGCTTCAACAGATCTTTAAATAGTGTAAATTCTGACCTTATAAGTGGGTTCATACGCGCTCCAGTAGTTCACTCCTGTGGCCATCCAATATTCTAACGCCTGACCTTTGACCCCTGGCTTCTGACCCCGCCTGGTTCACTGTCTTCACTGCTTCACCTCAGATCAGTCCAACGTCCTGGAAAAACAACACGGAAAGAACAAAGAGATTTTCAGTCGACTCAGCTTCTGCTCAAAGAAATACATCTACTCCCAAACAGATGGTGGTTTTCAAAGTTGGAAGTACAAATCAGAAAGCTCCTAATGGTATTTTTAGACTGTTATAATATTCAAATTCTGATTATTAGTCCATATACAAATGCATTATACTAAGTTTTTTATTCATGGCTGTCTCATTGGCTAGAATACAATTAATGGGGGAAACTAGTGTTGTAACAATAGTGAAAAATCAAAGTCGATATTTTTAGGAAAAGACTTGTAATGACAATACAACTTCAAAACCGTAATGAAAATGAACAAATATATATTACACTTTTTAGACAAAAGAATTAGAATAGAATATCTTTAAGTAAATTAAAGTGCAGCCCTCATTCAGTGCAAAGGCAGCAACAAATAAATAATAAAAGATAAAAAGATAAAAGAGTCTCTATGGACATTTTTAAAAAGAGTTCATTAAAACCTCACACACCCACACATATTTCAGCCATACACATCCACATTCATAAATGTAAAACATAAAAAAAAGAAGCTTTGATATCACCATTTAGTGAAATTATGGCTTTTGGATAAAAAACTTTCAATTAAAATGAAATCAAAAACATAATAGCAGTTTCTTTAATATTTTAATTTGGTCATATATTAGTTCTGATATAGATCAAAATCATTTTAAAACTATCCAGGAAAACTATTAAATGCATTTTTTTCAGTGTAAAAAAAAACTGTGAAAGTTGGACATGCAATTCACAAAGCTCCTAGTGGTATTTTTAGACTTATTTTTATTATTAGTTTAATTTAGTCTAGTCTTTATGTGAAGGGACAATGTACATTAAAAAATAAACAGATGTTCCACACTAGATTATAGTTTAATAGCTGGTTTCCATCTACAGTCTCTAATTTGGAGGAATACAGTATACATGCAATTACAGCCAATCAACAATAAGAACAATGCACAATGTTCTCTCTCCAGCTACATACTCACACACCATCACACGAACACAATATGAACACTGGGATAATCAAACCGAAATTGCAGTTTGGATGGTCACATACACCACCCGTCTCTCTGCTTTAAATCTGTAATGAAGATAATCCTGAGTCAGACTAGTTTATTTTTTGTCTTCTTACTTAAAGCTCATATTATGCTATTTTCTGATCTATGTTATAATGTTTCCTCATCACAAACATACCTGGAGCTGTTTTTTTGTTTCATCATATGGATAATTTCAGTCCGGGAATAGTCAATCTCTAAACAAAAGGTAAAAGACAGGAGGTGGAGCAGAGCATTTTGAGCTTTGGAGATGTAGACAGACTAATAAATAAAAGATTAAAACATGTGTGAATGAAACAAAACACAACTCCCTGTATGTTTTTTGAGGCAGTAACAACATAATAACATGACTTAAACCTCACAAGTGTTGATTTGGTGTAATATAGGACCTTTAAGATCTTTAAGTAAACTGTGAAATATTAAACTATAAAGTATTAGTTCACAAATACTAGTCCCCCTATAGTGCCTATGCCTATGCTGCCTTTATTTTGCCTTTTCCCTCTTCTCCGCTGTATACATTACTGTTGCCATGACCTGGAGTCCTGTTTTAGACACAACATTAACCCTTTGAACCAGCTCAGGTCTGTTTCATCTAAACACTGTAGACACAACCACAGCTATCTCTCTCACTGCGTTTACGGCTCAATACAAAAATCTAGACTGATACAAGAAGATTATAACTGCAGGGACCAAAAGGGTGAAAGAATTACAATAAATATAACATAAAAACATTGATACTTAGAATTTATTATTAGCATATATATATATTTTTTTTTGTTTTGTTATAATATATTGTGATGTGTGAGCTTCTGTGTCCAAGTAATTTCCTTTGTGGATCAATAAAGTTTGTCTAAGTCTATAAAAATAAAATCAAGCAGTGCAGAAATGTTAAACCTTCAGAAGTTAATATTAGGGCTGGGCAATGTGATGAAAAATGACAAAGAATAAATGATGAAGACGTTGATTCCTCACATTGACTGATCGTAACTTTCGACCCAGTTTTATTTTTCTCAGTTTTAAAGAGCAAATAAAAATGTCTTTCACTATTAAGTAAACACAAGAAAGGTACATTTTTGATCCATGCTATTAAACACACAAATATTTCTTCCAAAAGTCTGAACTCTGCTCCAAAAATCTTACTTTTACTGACACTGGTTGCAGTAACATTGAACTGCAGACTAGTCAAACATGAGTAAGAACTGAATGGATGCAATTAGCAAACCACAAAGACTGACATTTCTGAAGTAATTTCCTCCACAAACAACAAAATCTGTTTTACTCTGCATTAAAACAGCTAATCCTGGAGTTTAGATCTGTATACACACGTTCTGAAATGTGACTCTTGAATTGTTTGTCAGTATTTTTGTCAATTCTTCTGGGTGCATTTAAAACGTGAACTATGAACAAAGTCCTATTCAAAACATTAATCACAAATCTAATCACAAGTGCAATGAAAAATCACAGTTTGATATTTTCCCAGCAATAATTGTGTATTTTGAATTGTGTTGTTATCACACTAAAATTTCAGACTCGATTTTAATACTAGTAGACTTGATTCTAATTCCAATTCTGATAATAAAAACACAATAGACAACAGAATGTGATTTTCAACATTAAAATAATAGTAGTTTCTTTTATATTACCATGTGGTCTTATATCTGTGTAATCCCTCAGTGGTCCAGGTAGGTTCCACAGTGGTCCATGGGCGTGTACTAGTCTATGTGCTCTTATACTTGGTCTGATACAGCTCAAGATCATTTTAAAACTATTCAGGAAAGTCTCATTTAGGCTACGTCCAGACTGCAGGGCTTAACGCTCAATTCCGATTTTTTTGTGAAATCTGATGTTTTTGCGAGGTCGTTCACATTTCCAATTAAATGCGACTTGTATGTGAACTTCAGTGTGAACATTAAACGGCCCGAAAGTGTCCCGCATGCGCACTGGAGGACATGATGACGTCAACCGCAGCGAGCGTGCTCTGTGTTCACGGAAGTTGTCCAAACATGGACGCGAGCATTGAGCACCTGGAGATTTTAAAGTCCCTCTCGTACCAGAGCCAGAACATGAACAACTTACTTGTTTTAAGGAGGAGATTGAGAAGGAGACGGACGAGGTTTTTGGCCGTGACGTTTTGTGGGGCAGCGGCAGCGACGTCTGTTGAAAGGAACGTGTGGATGCGGAGACGTAGCCAAGAGTGGTGAGTGGTGATGTTCTTCGCTTCAGTGACACCGAGTTCATTAACAATTTTCGCCGACTTCAGCGCAGAATAGTGACGTTTGTGGCTTGTTGATATGTAGGTCGGATGAATGCGCTTTGGCCGTTCAGACTGAAGTCGCATGTCAAAAGTTCGGATATGTATCGGTTTCAGGAGCACATATCGAAGTGGCCTGGGTCACATTTGAAAAAATCGGATCTGTGTAGTTCAGACTGTCATTAAAAGATCAGATACAGGTCACATAGGGGC